GCTGACTGGGGGAGGGGAGGATATCTGCTGACTGGGGGAGGGGAGGATATCTGCTGACTGGGGGAGGGGGGAGGGGGTCAGTTGACTGGGGGAGGGGAGGATATCTGCTGACTGGGGGAGGGGAGGGGAGGATATCTGCTGACTGGGGGAGGGGAGGGAATCTGCTGACTGGGGGAGGGGAGGATATCTGCTGACCGGGGGAGGGGGGGAGGGGGGGAGGGGGTCAGTTGACTGGGGGAGGAAAGGATATCTGCTGACTGGGGGAGGAGAGGATATCTGCTGACTGGGGGAGGGGAGGATATCTGCTGACTGGGGGAGGGGAGGATATCTGCTGACCGGGGGAGGGGGGGAGGGGGGGAGGGGGTCAGTTGACTGGGGGAGGAAAGGATATCTGCTGACTGGGGGAGGAGAGGATATCTGCTGACTGGGGGAGGGGAGGATATCTGCTGACTGGGGGAGGGGGGGAGGGGGTCAGTTGACTGGGGGAGGGGAGGATATCTGCTGACTGGGGGAGGGGGGGAGGGGGTCAGTTGACTGGGGGAGGGGAGGATATCTGCTGAGGGGGGAGGGGGGGAGGGGGTCAGTTGACTGGGGGAGGGGAGGATATCTGCTGACTAGAGGGGAGGATATCTGCTGACTGGGGGAGGGGGGGAGGGGGTCAGTTGACTGGGGGAGGGGAGGATATCTGCTGAGGGGGGAGGGGGGAGGGGGTCAGTTGACTGGGGGAGGGGAGGATATCTGCTGACTAGAGGGGAGGATATCTGCTGACTGGGGGAGGGGGGGAGGGGGTCAGTTGACTGGGGGAGGGGAGGATATCTGCTGAGGGGGGAGGGGGGGAGGGGGTCAGTTGACTGGGGGAGGGGAGGATATCTGCTGACTAGAGGGGAGGATATCTGCTGACTGGGGGAGGGGGGGAGGGGGTCAGTTGACTGGGGGAGGGGAGGATATCTGCTGAGGGGGGAGGGGGGAGGGGGTCAGTTGACTGGGGGAGGGGAGGATATCTGCTGACTAGAGGGGAGGATATCTGCTGACTGGGGGAGGGGGGAGGGGGTCAGTTGACTGGGGAGGGGAGGATATCTGCTGACTGGGGGAGGGGAGGGGAGGATATCTGCTGACTGGGGGGAGGGGAGGATATCTGCTGACTGGGGGAGGGGAGGGGAGGATATCTGCTGACTGAGGGAGGGGAGGGGAGGATATCTGCTGACTGGGGGAGGGGAGGGGAGGATATCTGCTGACTGGGGGAGGGGGGAGGGGGTCAGTTGACTGGGGAGGGGAGGATATCTGCTGACTGGGGGAGGGGAGGGGAGGATATCTGCTGACTGGGGGGAGGGGAGGATATCTGCTGACTGGGGGAGGGGAGGGGAGGATATCTGCTGACTGAGGGAGGGGAGGGGAGGATATCTGCTGACTGGGGGAGGGGAGGGGAGGATATCTGCTGACTGGAGGTGGGGAGGATATCTGGTGACTGGGGGAGGGGTGGAGGGGGTAGACCAGCGTATGTAGCTAAAGATCCACAGACGGAATCAATCAACATCTTCCAACCTGTGGTCACGTGTCAGACAGCAAGATTGGCAAGGGGGTCACGAGGTCAAAGGTAAAGGAAGAAGCGACAATCGCAAATGAATGAAATCAATAGTAATTGCTCCAAATGGCTCGGAATTAGGGATTCGGTAGAGTGTATCGTATAGAAGGCTTAACTTGGCCAGCGTACGTGACCTCATTTTTAACTGATTGGAAGAACTCACGTCAGAGGGTTTGGGTAGAATTTACTGTTAGGTCGTGTGGGGGCGGGAAGCACGTCACACGGGGAGCCGCTAGACTTGGGGGATCTTTTAAGTCAAGTTCTCTCACTAACATTCTCGGGGGTTCGGTCTAAAGTTATCATTCAAACGTTGGAACCATTTTTTTGTGTCGCTTAATTCAGGGTTACGTACTTTACTATGGGTTATGTTCTTAATTATGGGTCATGTTCTTTACTCAGGGTCATGTTCTTTAACAGGTGAAAAGAACATGTATAATCCTTTAGTGTCAAGAGAGAGGTCAGCCATGTATGGAGAGGGCCACGAGCAATTAGTCATAGAGCTACCTTGGATCATGGATTAAACTATAAGCTACCAACAGGTCATCATGGGTTAAACTATTAGCAACTAACACATTAAGTGATAAACTAATTAGCTACCAGCAGTTTAAGAGTTAAACTAATAGCAACCAACAGGTTATCATGGATTAAACTATTAGAAACTTACACATTTAGGGATAAACTAACAGCTCCCAGCAGGTCAAGGGATAAACTAATAGAAACCAAAAGGTTATCATAAAGTTAGTAAAGTTATCCTATCCGACCTAACGATATATTGGGCAGATCAAGTAGAGTTCATGTGCATATGAATGCATCGTATGTTCATCACTAAACCCAGCCCCCATTACTACCCCCAACATAACTTGGTACCCATTAGAGCTGGGTGGACTCAGGGAAGTACCACAGTCTCAAGTATGGACCGAGATCTGAACTTAAGGTCTTTGAGTTAGCAGCCAAACGCTCTACCATTCCACCATACTGTCCCATAACAGGTAATGGGATAGACTAATTTGTTATCAACAGGTCATGGGTTAAACTAATTTGTTATAAAGAGGTCAAGGGTTAAACTAATAGCTGCCAACAGTCCACAGGGGGCCAGACTTCACTTGATAATAATCTACAACTCCATATAAATGTTAAACCTTGATCATAATCTACAACTCCATATAAATGTTAAACCTTGATCATAATCTACAACTAAATATAAATGTTAAGCCTTGATCATAATCTACAACTCAATATAAATGTTAAACCTTGATCATAATCTACAACTCAATATAAATGTTAAACCTTGATCGTAATCTACAACTCAATATCAATGTTAAACCTTGATCATAATCTACAACTCAATATAAATGTTAAACCTTGATCAGAATCTACAACTCAATATAAATTTTAAACCTTGATCAGAATCTACAACTCAATATAAATGTTAAACCTTGATCAGAATCTACAACTCAATATAAATGTTAAACCTCAATCATAATCTACAACTCAATATCAATGTTAAACCTTGATCATAATATACAACTCAATATAAATGTTAAACCTTGATCAGAATCTACAACTCAATATAAATGTTAAACCTTGATCAGAATCTACAACTCAATATCAATGTTAAACCTTGATCAGAATCTACAACTCAATATCAATGTTAAACCTTGATCATAATCTACAACGCAATATAAATGTTAAACCTTGATCATAATCTACAACTCAATATCAATGTTAAACCTTGATCATAATTTACAACTCAATATAAATGTTAAACCTCGATCATAATCTACAACTCAATATAAATGTTAAACCTTGATCATAATCTACAACTCAATATAAATGTTAAACCTTGATCAAAATCTACAATGCAATATAAATGTTAAACCTTGATCATAATCTACAACTCAATATAAATGTTAAACCTCGATCATAATCTACAACTCAATATAAATGTTAAACCTTGATCATAATCTACAACTCAATATAAATGTTAAACCTTGATCATAGTCTACAACTCAATATAAATATCAAACCTTTGCAATGAAGAACTAAAGGTTGAGTTTAAAATATTTTGCTACTGTAAACTACAGCTATTTCTTGCAAAAAGATATTGTAACAATTTTTTTACAGAAGGCCTTCTACCCAACAATGTATAACAAACCTAAAGAGATTAACAATATTTGTGTGTCCACTTTTTTAATGACCAGGATTTAGAACTTAAAATAAACATCATAAGGGAGCTAACTAGGATAAATATTCCAAAAAATTATCTCATGAAATATTACTTCAAATGGTAAAACATGCTAAAATAATCTGTAATAGTGTTAAGTATAAATAAACCGGGAGTGATCTCCCCTAAAATTTCTCGAATATTTTTATATAAAATAACAGGGGATGGGAAATCGGGCTATAGACATGATTTTTAATCCATTTTAAATACTTAAAGTTTTAAAAATAGAATAAAATCTCGTAGACAAAAGAATTGCACACTGAGTGAACGCTTAATAAAAAAGTGCATAATAGTGCGCAATATTATTAGTACTTTAAAAATTTACATTAGTTTTTTGAGAAATCGGAAGTAGCGTAAATTACTACTTCCGGTCAATGGAAACTACTCAAAATTTAACAGAAGGTAGAGAATTAGATCTTTTACTTACATGTAAAATTTCATTTATCTATCTGAAATAGTACTCAAGTTATGGGCTTTTGAAAAATTCAAAGTAGGAAAAGTACCACTTCCGGTTATCGGAAATCGCTCAAAAGTTGATACGGATCTACGATTTTGATAAAATACTTATATATGAAATTTCATCAACCTAGCTGTAACGGTACTCAAGTTATCGTGTTTACACACAGACAGACAGACAGACAGACAGACACACAGACAAGATTGCAAAATTATGTTTTTCCGTCTCAGTGAGGTGTAAAACGTCGAGATTTGTAAAAATCTCGATTTTTTTTTTTTGCACGATTACAAGACTTTCTCTATACTTCGTATATACGAGAAAGTAAAAAAGCTAGTTCTATTCTATAAAGCCATAGAGTTAGTCTGTTCCCCTAGCTTTGACACAAGAAGTGTGTGATCAGCATAATGCCTAGTCACTGCTTTAACTAATACCAAGCACAGAATAGACTGGATAGACTCAGGGATAAAATCAATGGATAATAATTTGGTCTGCATTTAAAACAAAATCACTAAAACATTGAACAGACCTGGAGTTGATTTGCTTCCATTCAAGACAAACTAAACTAGCTACTATATTGGGGATCATTCTATAATAAATGCTATTTTGGCTGGTTTTATCCGGCATCACAACAAGCCAGACCCCACCTAAGTTTCAGGAACTTGACTTCATAAGTTCATACATCCACACACCATCCCAGTCACCAAGAAGAAAGTCATCAAGAAACACAAGACACTAACCATTGCTAGATTATGATTTGCCGCTGATGTTAGAGAATATCCTGGAGCCCATACTGCCCAGCTTCTCCATCTTGTCATAGAACGAGCTACTGAGGTCAGCCTGTGACGAGGTTGAAGGCAACGTCGCTTCCACTACAGAGGTCAACGTGGGTCCTGAAGCTTCAGGGTTCTGTAACATTCAGACAATGAGATGACCCATGGATTTTTGCATTTTTGAGTTGGTAGTTGAATTGTTAAGGCTATTGGTAGTTGAATAGTTAAGGCTATTGGTAGTTGAATAGTTAAGGCTATTGGTAGTTGAAAAGCATAGTTTAGGCTACTAGTAATTGAAGTGTATAATTTGGACTACACAACAAAGAGTAAAACATTTTTTAAATGTACAATATGTATTAAGTTCCCCTTTCAAACATGACGGTCTATGGGGCAAGTGAAGTAGAGTTCACTTGTTTCTGTGACCTCGGCATATGAAGAGATAGTGTGGTCAGCACTAAGCCCAGCCGGTTTACTTTCCCTAACGTGAGTTAGGTACCCATCAGAGTTGGGTGGACTTGAACCCAGATTCGAACTCGAGACTTAGGGGTTAGCAGTCCAGCTCTCTACCGCTAGACCACTCCGTCCCACACAATATGTATTAATTCACAGAAAAATTACTTGTGAGATTCAGTTTTTTTAAAGGATTTCTCAAAAAATTAATGAAAAAAAAAAAGGACCCCAGTAAAAGTGATTATTGTGATATTAAGACCATAGAAAGATAGGATTCAACCAAGATGGAAAAAAAAACTTGAAACATGGACCTACTCGACTGATGGTCTGTGAGGTGATGGGCTGGGTGGTCAAGGCTGATCTGGTGTTACTTTGTTGTGAGCTGAGTGGGAGAAGGGGGAAACGTTGTGGGCATGATGACAGTGGCAGGACATTATGCTGCTCTTGTCCTGTTAGGATGGGACGAGATCCCAGAGAGGACTGGCCATGCTTGTCCATACAGTAAAGTGTCCCAAATATCACCTGGTCAACACAAAATCAAATTTTTAAAGACAAATATCACCTGGTCAACACAAAATCAAATTTTTAAAGACAAATATCACCTGGTCAACACAAAATCAAATTTTTAAAGACAAATATCACCTGGTCAACACAAAATCAAATTTTTAAAGACAAATATCACCTGGTCAACACAAAATCAAATTTTTAAAGACAAATATCACCTGGTCAACACAAAATCAAATTTTTAAAGACAAATATCACCTGGTCAACACAAAATCAAATTTTTCTAAAAATATATCACTTGAAGGACTAAATAATATTACTTAAAAATATCAAACATCACCCAATGATTTTTTTAAAGAGCTATTTTATTAGGAAATATTTTAGTAGAGCTATTCAACTTGCAAGAGAAAAAAAAACAACTTACAGAACATCTCTGGGCTTGTTTGATCAGGTTAGCTTGTATGTATGGGGAGAAAACATCCAGGTCAAATGGATCCACCTGTTCCTCCAATCTGTCTATCACAGTCTGACATCTCTGTTGGTAGTTCTTGTGTAGCTACAAACAAGATATACAACAATTATTTTAGTCTCTCTATTCCATCTCTGTTGGTAGTTCTTGTGTAGCTACAAACAAGATATACAACAATTATTTTAGTCTTTCTATCCCATCTCTGTTGGTAGTTCTTGTGTAGCTACAAACAAGATATACAACAATTATTTTAGTCTCTCTATTATATCTCTGTTGGTAGTTCTTGTGTAGCTACAAACAAGATATACAACAATTATTTTAGTCTCTCTATTCATAGTTCTTGTGTAGCTACAAACAAGATATACAACAAATATTTTAGTCTCTCTATTCTATCTCTGTTGGTAGTTCTTGTGTAGCTACAAACAAGATATACAACAATTATTTTAGTCTCTCTATTCCATCTCTGTTGGTAGTTCTTGTGTAGCTACAAACAAGATATACAACAATTATTTTAGTCTTTCTATCCCATCTCTGTTGGTAGTTCTTGTGTAGCTACAAACAAGATATACAACAATTATTTTAGTCTCTCTATTCATAGTTCTTGTGTAGCTACAAACAAGATATACAACAAATATTTTAGTCTCTCTATTCTATCTCTGTTGGTAGTTCTTGTGTAGCTAGAAACAAGATATACAACAAATATCTTACTGTCTATTCCTTCTCTGTTGGAAATTCTTGTGAAGCTACAAACAAGATCTACAACAATTATTTTAGTCACTCAATTACATATTATTGTTAGTTTTTGTGGAACTACCAACATGAAATGCCGTATACACTATTTTATTAACATTTGACTTCCCATGACTGATAAAATTCAGATGAAACCGACTCACCTCGTCATCTTCTCTGCGTGGTATGATCAGCTGGACAAACTTAAAGTTGAACAACTCCTGCAAGACTTCATGCTGACTGAATGGATTGCTGCTCTTCTTCCCACCTCTGTTATTGATGGCTCTCTCATACGTGGTAACAATACCATCTGTCACCATCACAAGTAAATCTCGCACTACAGTTCTTGAAAATATTAAATGTCAATTTTCTTAAATATATTCTATCAGCAAGACAAGTTTTTTTTACTTCTATTCAAAAACACTTCTATACATTAAGAAAAACACAGGATTTAAGAATAGAACATGTTTTATTTGAGTTGTAAATAGAAACTCGTTATCAGTATGTGCTGTATTTTATTTAACTGGATTACAAGGAGTGGAGCAAAGATAGATCCTTACCACTCTTACAAATATCTTAGGTACAGAAATATTGTCCCACAGATGACTATCTTGCATGTGAACATTTGGATAATCTCTACTCTAATCCAGCAGAAGCTCTTACTTTTTAAAATACTGTAAAATCTAATCTAATATCAAACTGTATGTATAACTGTCCCTAAGAGCAAAAGATTGTGTTTGCATAGACAGTTGTCAACAGCAGAGACCAATAGACAATTGTACCTGGGTAGAGCCTGTATCCCTATCTTGTTGAGTTCTTTACACAGTGTGTACAGTAGAGTCTGGATATGCCAGGAAGCCTGAAATGATAGAAAAAAAAGTATGAAGTATGAATACTTATGAAAAAAAAAAGATAAGAATATAAAAACCAAAAAATAATAATAAAATGACCAAGATAAAATGATAAGAACTATCATAATTATCATAATGTTGGGTGGAACTTACCTGCATAGGAACAAAAATTTTAGAAGCTAATTTCTTGCCTTCCTCACTTTCTTCAGCAATCTCCACCTCATCCCATCTCTGCAACAACCAGAAGAACCAACGGATTAAAGAAGGAATAAACAAAAATACAAGCATAACTGACTAGTGTTTGTCACATACACACAGTAATACACCGAGTAAGTTTTGTACATTAGGTTTACTTGTATGCTGATTAGGTTTGTTGTTCCGCTAAAATACACAACAGTAAGTTTTGTACATTAGGTGTACTTGTACGAGGATTAGGTTTGTTGTTCCACTAAAATACACAACAGTAAGTTTTGTACATTAGGTGTACTTGTACGCTGATTAGGTTTGTTGTTCCACTAAAATACACAACAGTAAGTTTTGTACATTAGGTGTACTTGTACGCTGATTAGGTTTGTTGTTCCGCTAAAATACACAACAGTAAGTTTTGTACATTAGGTGTACTTGTACGAGGATTAGGTTTGTTGTTCCACTAAAATACACAACAGTAAGTTTTGTACATTAGGTTTACTTGTACGCTGATTAGGTTTGTTATTCCACTAAAATACACAACAGTAAGTTTTGTACATTAGGTGTACTTGTACGAGGATTAGGTTTGTCGTTCCACTAGAATACGAAAGCTGTACAAGTAAACTATGTGATCACTCACTGTTGACGCTGCCAGTATACTGTCTGGGTCTGAACGGGCCATGGTGTCTGAGAACTGAGTCACTAGACTGTTGGCTGTGTATTCCACCCAAATCCTGGAGGACAAAGAGCAAAGAGTGATTTCTAAATAGAGCTGAAATTTTGACAATGTATACAGTGATTTTTAACCAGGGTAATTCATTTGTCCAAACAAGTTTTTTTTGCTCACAGTAGCTGAACTTAAGGGGAATAACTCAGCAAGAAATGCAACTGGTTAAAAACAATCCTCAACTCCCAGTCATTTTTACTTTCTCGTATATACGAAGTATAGAGAAAGTATTGTAATCGTGCAAAAAAAAAAATCGAGATTTTTACAAATCTCGACGTTTTACACCTCACTGATACGGAAAAACATAATTTTGCAATCTTGTCCATATGTCTGTGTGTCTGTCTGTCTGTCTGTGTGTAAACACGATTACTTGAGTACCGTTACAGCTAGGTTAATGAAATTTCATATATAAGTACTTTATCAAAATCGTAGATCCGTATCAACTTTTGAGCGATTTCCGACAACCCGAAGTGGTACTTTTTCTACTTTGAATTTTTCAAAAGCCTATAACTTGAGTACTATTTCAGATAGATAAATGAAATTTCACATGTCAGTAAAAGATCTAAGTTTCTACCTCCTACCAAATTTTGAGTAGTTTCCGTTGACCGGAAGTACTAATTTATGCTATTTCCGATTTCTCAAAAATGCATGTAAATTATGCATGCAAAATTAGTCACACCACAACATAACTTATATGACTATCCTATAACTTACTTGTATGCCAACATTTGACACTGTCGTAATTTTGCATGTACAGACATCCATTCTGGCAATTCAAATTTTTGTGTACGCAATTTCTTGGCCAATCTGTAATTAAAGATTTTAAATACCACCTTCAAAAAACCAGCTTCAAATGATCTGAGCCATGAGTAAATGTTTACATATGTCGTTTCTTTATTTTAAACTGAACCCTAATTATAAACAAGATTTTTGTTTTAAATTATAGGGATTGGCATGGTTGGGTATGTAAAGCTCATAGTTGCTAAACCAAAAAGTCCCAAGTTTGAACCTCTGGAAGATGAGGCTCAATAGCTGGGGACTGCAACCCATCTAGGAAAGAAACTCCAAAATCAAACAACTGTTACTTGTAGTATTTTTGGAAAAGGCTATGGATGTAAATCCAAAAACAAAAGCAGGCTGAATTGTGCTGGAGGAAATCTTGTCTAACATTACAATTAAGAAAGAAGAAGTTTTAAGTTGTCATAATTACTTGAATGGTGCCTGCTTGTTCCAGTTGGGTAGAGCTAAGATACAACTTTGTAAATGTGGAGTCATTTCAATCATTGCTGCACATGTCCTGGCTGTCAAAAGCAGTCTGTGAGAAGGTTAGTTTACAACACAAAACATTATTGCCAGTTATATATTATATATATATCTATAATAATAGTTTCGCTGTCTGTGTATGTGACAAGAACGCTCTGTCTGACAAGAACGCTCTAGAGAAAACACAAGGAAATTAAAAACATGCATAGTATTTCGAAAAACGAAGTATGACGTCGACACATTTAGCACAGAGTAGAAAATAATCTCAAACCGGAGAGTAAACATTGAATAAAAAGGAAATTTTGTCTTATCTAAGTGGTTTGCGTGAAGAGTTTCTTTCATACAATTCTTCGGGTAGGGGCGAAGCCCCACCCCCGCGTAAGAACGTCTGAGCCCCCCCCCCCCCCCTAACTCAAAAGAAATTTCTTCATCGATACTCTATAATAAAATTACCGCCTAATTAATGTGTCTAATCTAAAAAGTGGTTTTCTTGCAATTTCTTTAATGCTATTCTTCGGGTAGTGGCTAAGCGCGACACCAGTGTTTCTTTCAGACTTTTTCCTCCCCGGAGAGGGGTGGGGGTACTTGAAATTTTCGGGGGCGGGGGTAGAATTTTCTGGGAGGGGGCGGACACTGGAAAAAGTATATAATTATATTTCGTTGAATGGGACGGTAGACATGGTTTGGGGGGGGGGTATGGGGGTTGGGGGCGGTGTGTGGGGGGGTGGGTTGGTTTTAGTTTAGAGAAAAGAGACAGCACTATCAGCCTAGCGCCCGTTGTACCCTTCCTCAACGGGCCATTTTTCTCGTATATATATATATATATATATATATATATATCATGTTTAAGAATGTTTTTATTGTTGATATTACTGTTGGCTTGGTTTCTCTAAAGCTGTTCTATTTGTTTGTACTAAAACAAATATAATGGATAACCTAAAATGTTAAACAGGAAATTGTGAACTGGTAAAATTTTAAATTAAATGCTTATAAAACACTGTATTTAACAATATTCTGAACATCAGAACTAAAGTGAGTTCTACTGAAACGTACTTGTTTTCTGTAATTGCATTTGTAACAGGATCTGGTATATCTGCTAAGGATTTTTCCCACAATCGCAACTGTTCTGTCAAGTAGTCTAAAATTCTTTTGTAGAAATGTAAAGAAGATTTAGTTAAGTTCATCAGTTGCTTAATTAAAGTTTGAGATAATTGAAGCAAATAAACCTAATAGTTCAATTTAAATAATTGAAATTACTTTTATTTTAAAATAAAATTGTTTTAAAATATTGAAAAATTTTTTATAAAGTAAATGAAGTAAACTGTTATTAATTTTTGATAATAAAAAACATAATTTGAGCCAAAGCTCAAAGAAGTTTGAATGTAACTTGTTACTTACTCTTGCACACACTTGACACAAGATCCCTGCATGTACTTAAGAATATCTGAAGTGTCAGCAAATCTGTTAAAGGCACCTTCCTCCTGTTTCTCCTCCCCCTCAAGAACAAAGCTTTCTGTATCTTCTAACAAAATTTTCAGTTTCTCATCCACACTCTGGCAAAGACTAGAGGAGGAAGGGGATGAACATTTATTACAACCTTAATATTGAAACTAACTGGAATCCTTCTCCGCTGTATCAATATCTCAGCAATAAAATTGAAATTTTACTACACCTTAAAACATGTGTTGGAAAATAAAAGGTTTCTTAGATATGAATATTGTTGCTTATGGTCTAAAATAAATATTTAAATAGCAAACAAAAAACTAACTTTAAACTCATTTATAAAATGTCTATTAAAATCTCAAGATTTACAGTGAAATCATACCCATTTTTTGAGTTAACTAAAGTAATTTGAAATAAATCTTATAAAATGACTAACCTTTGTACGGCTGGAGTGAATGCCCTTGCTTTTAAGATGAGTCCACCACTGTCTGATATGGTCTTTGTGGCTGCTGTTTGCCAGATATCAGACATCAAAATGTCAGAGGAGCTTTCAGTCCACACAAACACTGCCAGGTTTCTCTCACACTGCATTGAGCTGTGAAAACACAGAAATACATGCAAAACTGCATATTTTTACTTAACTTGTTTAAATTACACCATAATCAAATCAAGGAACCCAGCTCATTTTGGTTTAAATGGATTTTTTAAAGGCAATACAAATGTTTAAGTGAATTATTACATACAGTTTCTTCATTGGAGATATGATATGCATAAAAAAAGGTACAGACAGGTATAGAAATATTTTTTTTTAAATTGTTCCTGTTAGGTAAGCCTGTTTGAATGTTATCTATTACTAGCAGCAACAATTTTTTATACTGTACAGGTACACAAATAATTTTGTAGCCCAACATCTCATTAGCTCTACCTGTCATTGACATCAGAAGTAAGCTCCATCATGGCTTTTGACACAGTCCGTCTGGTCAACTCAGCTGTAGTGTCCAGCTGGTACTGAACAAGTGCCTGGACATAAGTAAATCAAACTTAGTATACATTTTTTATTTCATGGGATTATCTGGTTAAAACATTGGCCAGTAAAGAATAGAATATATGACTTTGATTACATTAAATATTAATATTATTATACCGACTATTTACTAATTTATATAAACTTGATTAAAGTTAGCAGACACGTGACAAGTTTTACCTTAACTCTCTCCAAGAACAATGGCCTGAGAAAGTCCTCCCAGACCCTCAGAGTCAAGATGTTTTCATTCATCTGTAGCCAAGAGGGCTCACTCTGGACCTAAACAAATGGTATCATAGCAACCAGTCAACACTTTGGAACACTAACACAAATTTGGAATTAACAGATAAGCAGCTCATATCACACTTTCATACTTAGTGTTGCGATGCAAGTTTGGGACGGAGTCAACCTTGTTGGTCAACGTAGGTTTATCAACAATGACGATCTGATATGAATCACTGAACAGGACCACATTGGTTTATTCAATAGTTTATTTCACGGCTAAACACACTCGCACAATTACTTTCACAAAGTATACGTCATACGTCTACACCCTAGCACAACATGACAAAGACTGATCTAATCTAGTTCCCAACAACAAGATCCTACTCTCATGCGTCACATACTTACGTGCTTTGTCACACATTCACAATCTTTTATTAATATAAATCATTATACAACACACATACTCTCATACCCATGCAGTACACTGAAATACCATTCACAACACTCAGCAGTAGTAATTGACAGTGCCCACCCATACAAAATCTCTGATATCAGCCAGTCTTTTGACTGTGTTCACATAAAGATTAACTTACTGCTGTCAACAGCGCCCACAATTCATCTCTGATATCAGCCAGTCTTTTGACTGTGTTCACATAAAGATTAACTTACTGCTGTCAACAGCACCCACAATTCATCTCTGATATCAGCCAGTCTTTTGACTGTGTTCACATAAAGATTAACTTACTGCTGTCAACAGCATCCACAATTCATCTCTGATATCAGCCAGTCTTTTGACTGTGTTCACATAAAGATTAACTTACTGCTATCAACAGTGCCCACAATTCATCTCTGATATCAGCCAGTCTTTTGACTGTGTTCACATAAAGATTAACTTACTGCTGTCAACAGTGCCCACAATTCATCTCTGATATCAGCCAGTCTTTTGACTGTGTTCACATAGTTCAACAACTTGCCAACTCCAGACTGAACATCCTGTAAACAGCTACAAATACCAAAACTAATTAGTTTTCTCATTTTGTTCAATTAGCCAAAAAAAATCTAACCATAATAAGTATTTTCCTGAAACTTCATATACTTGAAAATGTATTACACAATGATTACAAAATAAATGATCAAATGAAATATACTCTATATATAGTACCATAATACTGTACATAATACTACTCTATGGTAAAAATCAGAGTAGGCCTATAGCTAAAATTAGATAGCTTTAATAAATATCAAGTTTAATCTAAAACAGGAATTTTGTTCTTATGCTTGAGATAAAAACGGATTCAATGAACACCAAAATTTAAAAACTAAATATATGCACATTAAAAGACCCATCCAAATAGCAACTAACACTTAAATCAACCTTTAACACCTGGAACAAGTATTTTTGTTAAGATGGATGATAAAAAAATAATTACGTATTCATCCACTGCTGACAGTTTTCTTTCAACTGCTTTATTTGAAGTGGAGCGGCTGGTCTTCTTAGTAAAGGCTGAAAATCTACAGTGAAAAATAAAAATACATTTTACAATCTTAAACTTTTTTATTTAACAAAGATATTTCAAACAAAAAAGCCAAGTATAGAGGCCAACTTAATTTTCTTAACAAAAAATGCAGTAAGATATAATTATATAAATTATCCCTTAAGATTAAAATAATATATTAGTAAATATTATTAACTTACTTTTCACAGAAGGAGGAAGACACTTTGAGGAAATAGTCCCATGCAGTTCTAGGTTCAGGTTACCTGAGGATTTCAAATAGATTCAATATGTAAATAATTATGATATATACAGTAAAAAGTGAACTGCTGTGAGTTCATCTGTTACTGTGGCCTCTGCATATAATAGGGATTAAGTGGCTGGCAGTAAGCCTGTATTATTGAGCCAAGTACCTATTTAATCTGGGATTTCTACAGACTCAAGCCCCAGGAGAAAACTGATGAAATTAGCAATCATGCATGCTAGCAATAAACCATCCCAATTTACAGCACATTGTCATTTCAAAATTCCTACACATTTCAGTCCTTAATCATATCCTTATGGGGACATTCTGAAGTGTCATGTTCATGTCCTTAAAGAATAACCAGTTGAGGACATTCTCCTGTGTTTTGCTTGTCCTTAAAGAAAGACTCACCATGTCCTGACCAGTTAAGGACATTCTCCAGTGTTTTGCTCATGTCCTTAAAGAAAGACTTACCATGTCCTGGCTTGTTGAGGACATTCTCCAGTGTCTTGCTTGTCCTTAAAAAAAGACTTACCATGTCCTGGCTTGTTGAGGACATTCTCCAGTGTTTTGCTCATGTCCTTAAAGAAAGACTTACTGTGTACTGGCTTGTTGAGGACATTCTCCTGTGTTTTGCTTGTCCTTAAAGAAAGACTCACCATGTCCTGACCAGTTAAGGACATTCTCCAGTGTTTTGCTCATGTCCTTAAAGAATAACTTACCATGTCCTGACCAGTTAAGGACATTCTCCAGTGTTTTGCTCATGTCCTTAAAGAAAGACTTACTGTGTACTGGCTTGTTGAGGACATTCTCCAGTGTTTTGCTTGTCCTTAAAGAAAGACTTACCATGTCCTGGCTTGTTGAGGACATTCTCCAGTGTCTTGCTTGTCCTTAAAGAATAACTTACCATGTCCTGGCTTGTTGAGGACATTCTACAGTGTCTTGCTTGTCCTTAAAGAAAGACTTACCATGTCCTGGCTTGTTGAGGACATTCTCCAGTGTCTTGCTTGTCCTTAAAGAAAGACTTACCATGTCCTGGCTTGTTGAGGACATTCTCCAGTGTCTTGCTTGTCCTTAAAGAAAGACTTACCATGTCCTAACTTGTTGAGGACATTCTCTTGCTTGTCCTTAAAGAAAGACTTACCATGTCCTGGCTTGTTGAGGACATTCTCCAGAGTCTCCAGCAGCAAGCCCTTGTGCTCCCCTTCAGTCTGACCAGGATGCTGCGACTCATGCTGGTAAAACACTGAATAAATCTGCCTGAGTGTGGATGTCAAGAGGCGAGCCACACTCAGTATCTGAACCTTAACATTCACTTGGTGACCCGAGTGTAAGATTTGCTGCAGTGCTTTCTGGAGATTACACATTAGTTGTTTGAAATCAAAGTTATGAATTAGCATAAAATCAGAATCATGAAAACACTGCACCAACAAATCATATAACTAGGAAAGCAGTAGATTGGAACTTATGTGTAGAAGAACATGGGAAGTGACGGCAGGAACAATGAGGAAAGGCAATTGTGTGATTAAACTCATAACCTCATAATGATGATAATGGTCATGATGATGATGATGGTGAGGCTCCTAGTGTTGATGATGACGTTGGTAATGATGATGGTGGGGATATCCATAATTTATGATAATAATCACTTTGGTGATGGATATGGTAATGATGTTAATTCTGGTGATGAATGTAGCGATTATGATGTTGGTGGTGATGATAGTGGTTATAATGATGATAATGATGATGATAGTAATAGTGCTAATGATGGTGGTGCTGATACTGGTGGTGATTATGATGGTGATGATGATGATGATTATGGCTAGTGTGATGATGATGAAGAAAATAAAAGTGATGATGATTAAAAAGTATTTAGTATAATATCTTGAGAGATTAAAATACTGTATGGAGGTAAATACTGACTGTCCGAGCCAAAAGGAATTCTGTAAAGACTTGACGTGGTGTGGTATCCTCAAGAAGAATAATACAGCACAACACATCTGCCATTTGCTGTAACAATCATTAATATAATATTACACCATAATAATGTAGTAATATTATCTGCGTAATATTACTGCATCAATGTATAGTAATTGTACAAAATGTATGAGTCTAATAGCTAATTAAATGAATCATTCAGACAATTTTAATATTTTTACCTGGTCACTTAGATCAGCTTCTGTGTCAGCTAACATCAATCGACAACCCTGAAAAGAAGAAAAAAAAGTACTTGTTATGGAGTTCTATTCAGTTTTTAGTACAGTAAGTGAATGCTATTAGTTTGTATCTGCTTTAATAATGAGGTAGTGAAGTTTGTAATTTACCTGTAAGATGGTAGTTTTGAAATGGCTGATAGCTGCCCATTGCCTGGTGAGAACAGGGAACCATGTAACAACATCAGCTGACAGTTGGGAATCAAGGTGAAGGCTGGCGTTGATATGCCTGGCCAGCAAGTATAGCCGAGCAGCTGTTAAATATTCTTGACTGTCCACACTGCTCCATATCTAATTATAAATTATAAAACTAAACTTGCTTGCAATGACTTTATTTATTGTAATTTACATCATACCATTTCTTTAAAATTATATTATGAACCAATATAAAGTAGCTGTTCTGTGAAAAAGAATGAGCTGACAAAAATAATGTCAAAGTAATGCCAGAGTGTGTAATCATATTACTCACCTTCTCTGGGATGTCCATTAGAAGTTTTATCTGTGCTGCCTTACCATAAAACTCCATTTCTTTTCCATTCCTACGATAAGCAAAACAAAATTAACTTCAAAGCAGTGTAAAAACAAAATATTTTTAAAAATTTATATAATATAAAATGCAGTTAACACATTCTCCTGTACTAGGAGTTACATATCTTGATATCAAGATTAAACCTCTATATGGTGTATATAACACCTGAGACTCGATGCATTGTTTCAAAGTTAAAGTGTTAACAAACTTTGCAAAAATATGAGTAATTCAGGAAAGTTTTAAATATGCCTTAAAGTAAAACTAAATGAATGATTTAAATATAAACATAAGAGGTGAGAGAGTCAGTGTTTACTTACTTATCAGAATCATTTTTAATTGCCATTGGAAAAGAAGATCCCCGTACCATGTGCTTTTGTCTCATGGCTGAACAGAGGTGCTCCATTTTTGCTATAGATTTCATGACCTAGCAGTGATATATACAGCACTAATTACACTGACAAAATGAGTATATACTACATAAAATATTTTTTAGAAAAAACGGATTGTTAGTTTTCCCAGTAAAAAGTGGATTTATTTATGTTACCAGAGATAAATGTTACCTAATTAAGTAATAAAAAATGACATATGTGATAAATTGTAAAAATCATAATGCTGGCTTTTAATTGCTACAATTCTTAGAAAGGAAATAAACTTACATTCTGGGCACTTGTTTTCATATCTGTTATGGTATCTGCAGCATCAATCAGGTCTCTGTATCTTTCTCTAAAATTTGATAAATAGATTAGTTTTAGCTAATTATAGTATCTATATTTTTGTTTTATCCTGAAAGCTTTTCCTGTATTTGTGTAACTGAAAAGACTATGAGTATTTTAAAGATAATTGTAGGTGGTCTATAAAAGTTCTTAATGCACAAGTATTAAGTAAAAAAAGTATTTTTATTTAGTGTAAGTAAATATAGTAAAAAAATAAAGGATAATTTTTCAATTAAACAATTACATACCCAACCATAACTCTGAGATCTTCCTTTTTCTTTTCAATGTCTGATCTGAAATATAACATACTTTTCACTGTAAAATGTCATTTTTAAATTTGTATATCAGGTGATCACAGACTATAAGATATTCTTTTAAACATTATATTTAAAACAATAGGGCCTACCCATAAATATTCATAAAATTTAAATCAATTAATTACATATCAAATGTATTAATATCAATATTTACACACAAAAAATATAAAAGACGACACTATGTGTCAATGTACTTTTTAAGAATAAGGAAAAAGTATTGAAGTAAAATTAATTTTTAAAAAATAATGCAAAGAAATTATATTTTTCTTCTTAAAACAAAAATATATTAATTTTAAAATCTTAGTATTTTGTGTAGTTATGAATACACAAGCCTACCTCGTTTTCTTTTCCAAATTACGTATTTCTTCAATCGTGTGCTTCTCAAAGAGAGCATTAGAATCTGCCCTCTGAACATTGTTTGCTACTTGCTGCGGAACTGTATAAAAAATGATATTTTTAAGAAAAGAACCTAGATCTACTGCCTAGCCCAGATATCAGAAACCAGCAACTCTCTAGCCAAAGCTTAAGTTTTTAGGACTTAATAAATAATTAATATGGCTCTTCTTTAACTTAATGTTTATTATGACAACTTGTAACTAAGAATAGGATTAATGATTATAAGTAAAGCCTGCAATTTCAATTTAAAATTTTGAGGACAGTGGTACAAAGGAATACAAGATTTTTTTAGATATGAGCAATTGAGTGAGCAATGTTTAGCATTGGGATACAAAACTAGGAACCAGCCAACAGGTGAAAGTAAGGAAAACAGGATGAAAAAGGCAAAGTGAAGAAAAAAAAACAGATGAAAAGTACTTAGGGAAAGTAAGAAGGGGTAAAAATTTAGAGAAAACCCTTGAGATTTCATTATATCCGCCATTTGTTTTGGTTAAGGCATGACACACAATACTGTGCATGGTATGTGGCCTGAATGACTGACACCGGTTGGTTGAGGCTACGCCAGGGGGACGATCTGTCCAGGATTCAAAGGGTAATTCTAAATATCATCCAAACTTTATTTATTATATAAATTTAAAATCTATATATATAATTCTCTTCTTGGATACCCTAAAAAACACCAAGCTGTAAGCGCGCCTATAGTTTATAGTTTTTTTGTTTACAAAACTTTGCAGATTAAGTTTTTAAATAACAATGCAAATTTAAACAACATGACCTAGTTTTTCTTTTTTTAGCTTACAATGTGTATAGTAAAATTTATGGCGGCCTATCGAATAGCAGGATGCCATTGTTTATGTCGACATAACCAAATTGTTTTTGCTTTTTTTTTTATATTTAGTTACCAAAAATATTAAAAACATCGGTAATCTATCGTTTTGGGTACGTAAAATCGCCCGCAATTTGTAATGTGAAAAACAGGTACTCCTTAAATTTTAATAATTATTTCACATTTTGAGGAGGATTTATGTTTTAGAAAATTCAAAAATGTTTCCTTGATTCATTTATGTACCTGTTTTTAAACAATTTAATTAAAACTTTTCCTTAATAAAAGAAGACTAGCGATGTTTTCAACAGATGCAACCCTGCTCATTTACTATAGCAGCCATCTTGTCTAAGTTTTATTTTATAAGCTTTTAGCCCCAGATTCAGGGGGAAGCCACTCTATTTTACAAATGGCTGCTGTTTAGGCCTATATATATAGCAAATCTTGCTCTCAGACACTGCTGTTAATTTGCTGTTAAGTTAATTTCTGGCCTATATCCATATATTTAGCCATTGATTTAGGTTTATTATTCATTTATCTATAATATTTGACACAAAAGTATGACAATATACTTCTATTAAAGCCTTGACAATGAGGTAACGTTTTCGTACATAAATAGCCGCGGGCGATTTTACGTACCCAAAACGATAGATTACCAAAACATCAAATGACAAATACATCCAATCTTTAGTAAAGTCCGAAAAAAAAACTAGACAGACAGGATTTTATGACCATATTAATTGTAACTACGCCGTGCATGATTTTTAAATTTTCTCGCTGGTGTCTCTAGTCTACTCGCTAGGCTAGGTCTTATGATCTAATCTTATGATTCTTATCCCTTAAAAAAAAAAGGGTAATCTATCGTTTTGGGTACGTAAAATCGCCCGCGGCTATTAATGTACGAAAACGTTACCTCATTGTCAAGGCTGTAATAGAAGTATATTGTGATATGTTTGTGTCAAATATTATAGATAAATGAATAATAAACCTAAATCAATGGCTAAATATATCAATATAGGCCCGAAATTAACTTTAAACAGCAGTGTCTGCAAGCAAGATTTGCTATATAAACAGCAGCCATTTGTAAAATAGAGTGACTTCCGCCTGAATCTTGCGCTATAAGTCTATAAAAATAAAACTTTAACAAGATGGCTGCTACAGTAAATGAGCATGGTTGCATCTGTTGGAAACATCGCTGGTGTTCATTTATTACTGAAAAGTTTTAATTCAATTGTTTAGAAACAGGTACATAAATGAAACAAGGAAACATTTTTGTATTTTTCAAAACATAAATCCTCCTCAAAATGTGAAATAATTATTAAAATGTAAGGAGTCACCTGTTTTTCACATTACTAGTTGCGGGCGATTTTACGTACCTAAAACGATAGATTACCAAAAAAAGTTAAAATATAAAATATAAAAATATTAGGCCATTTTTTAGGCCTATATTATATATAACATCAATCGAGAATCTAGATTCTAGTTTTCTATGTGGTTTTGTTTCAACAACTATTTTACTTCTTGCTCATGCTGAACAGAGCAAACCGATTAATTTATTGCCTCTGCTTGACACGTCAACTTACGAGTTTTCTTACCTGAAGGCCGGTGGGCAGCCATTTTCTAGTTAGATGTAAACAATTGAAAAATTTGGGTTTCCCTGCGATACAGCGCAAAGAGCGATCTTGTCATAGGTCTAATAATACATCCGTGTATTATTTATATTATACGAGTCGACCCGCGGCGTATAACACGCCGCTATTTAGTTTTATTTTCTACTTTTCAGTAATTCATAATTTGTGAATGCTGTCACTGAAAATATATTTGCTTTAAAACACTAAAACCATCCTTTCCCCCAACCCTTCCCCCCCAAACCACGTGAAAGCAGCCTCCGCTTAGTTACCTCCCCTAAGTTTAAAATAGTTTCAAACTAAATTATCTGCTCCTAATAGCCGTCACTAAACCCGGCTCTACGATTGTAACATTTAGCGTGAACCACAGCTCACCAGACCATGTGGGGGGGGGGGGGGTTGCGATATGCCTAGAGAGGAAGAGAGGGGACTGCTAGGCGCACTTACAGCTTGTTTTCTAGAGAATTATATAGATAGATAACTACGGATATACTATTAGATCTATCTACGGTACAGATAGAACAAGGCTATGATAGGGCGTGCAAGAATTTGATTTTCAAGGATAGTTAAAGAAATCGAGTTGGAAGTAATTAACTATAATCCGTTTTATTCAAATAACAGCATTAGGAATCGTCCATAAATGATGGCACGCCTAGGGGTGGGGAGGGTGGGGGTGGGGTTGGACTTAAGTTACATGGTAAGGGGAGAAGAGCAAAGAAAGTCCCATTAATTTTATTAGGCCTAATAGACTTTTTGTAGGTTATAATAAAATTGATCAACTTAATTTTCACCCAGCTCCTTCAATATTTTTTTTTAAGAAATAGCAGTTTCAAAAATTGATTATTGCTATTCGGTCTTGGTTTGTGTAAGGCTGAACTTTTGACACCATTTTAGGAAGTGGGGTGTGAGGAGGGGGGTGCATTTTTATGACAAGACAACTAAAAAGTATGATGGTTTCATCACTTACTACTTATAACCCTTTCTTTAAAATGTACAACAAAAGTTTTAGGCTAATACTGTTGTACTAAATGCTTGCATTTTTATGGTTACAACTAGGGGTTCCTGAGCTTAAGTATTTTGAAAATAATAAAAATTGAATAAGGCAGCTGTTGCCTTAGCAAAAACCTAAACAACAGTCTGTAAAACCATTTTTAAAAAGAAATCTCTTTGAGCACTTTTTTCAGTGAGTATGCGAGAATAATAAACCTACAAAATTGGAGATGCTTTTACTTCATAAAAAATAAAGACCTCATCTATGTTAATCCTTGTCAACTCTGGAGATTTCTTCAAGGTAGATTAAATCAAAATATGTCAAAAACATAACTGTTCCCAAAGCCTATTTCACATAAATAGGCTTCACTATCTGACCATTTTTAGACCTCTCATACATTTTGGTTGACAAAGTAAAATTAATATGAACACAAAAGATTTTTTTAAAACTTAGTTGATCTGTTTAATTTTTAAAAATCTAAATCTAGTTACTAATACAACACCAAAATTAGATATGTGTTTTAAATGTATTTGTTCTAACATCAATTACATTGAAATTATTTTATTACAGTTTGAGAAGTTTTTATATGGACAAAATTATTAGTATCTGTTATTGGAGATGGAATATCTAATGGCAATTATAAGAGACAAAAAGTATTTAAAATTTAGATTTAAAAACAAATAGCAAAACAAGGCAACAGACAATCAAAAGGCCTACTTGATATTGGGGCTTAAATATATTTTACTGTACACAATTTGGTTTTCAATACTTGTGATTTCATAAACTTTATAAAAGCTATCTCCATACAAATAAAGAAAATAAAAATTGTCAATGCTTATCAAAACTAATTTCAACAAGAAAAGAGCAATTGTAAGTACAATGTATAAGTGCTGTCTGAAATTAATCAATTTTTTTAATTAATGCAGTGTAAAATAATGTATAAAATTACAATATGACAACAGAGACAATAAATTGTGAACGGACTTAAGCATGTCATAAAAGTAAAAGCTTATTAAAAAATATAACAATATAAAACTGTTCAAAGTTGGTATAATATCACAAATTTATCTCACTTTTGCAGTGGTTTATTTACTTTAGATAGAAAATATAAGTTACACCCATTTTTTAATTAACACACTCTCATAAATAATAGTTTTATTATGTTTTAAAATACTTTTAATACTAATGTATTGTTAATGAATTTTTTAAGCCTGCATAAACATTAGTTAACTACATACAAATTTGTCACACCATTGTTAGTGAACCTCCCTCTTAAGTACTTTAGCTCCCTGCAGATTGTTTATTGTATGTAAAAATGACTCAATGCTTGACTCTTGTGAGAATGCATACTTATACATGGTAGGAAACTTAATAACACATTCTTATTGTCAGCTGTATAAAGATAATCCTACATAAAAATTGATTTGTAACTCAAGTTAAATAAGGAGAACAACCAAAGAAATATCTAACACAGAATAAACCAAGAAGATTGAAGGAGGAAAAAGGAAACAAATAATACAATGATATTTTAGATTTAAACAGTGTGTCTTCTTGCTGCTCATGTATAATATTTTGACATTTGTAAAATTTACAGTACAAATTGTTATCACAACTTTTGTTGAAGACATATGGAATGTTTAAGGATAAATCCCAACAGTTTATTAAAATCTACAATTAAAAAATCACTTTATACATTTGAATATATTTAGAAAAATCATTATTAAACAAATGTATATATACGTTTTAAACCATTTTACATTAAATAGATATTATAATAAATTTACAAAAGCATTGAAATTAAAAACTACAAATCAAAATGTCTCTTTACAACAACTTTCACCTATGAACAATAAATGCCTGAATAAACAGTTTGAACAAGGAAGGTCATAGCTGAATCACATGAACTAACATTGCTGGTATTTATTTTTTTATATGGCCATCTTTCTTCAGGATACTTCTCAAGTTGCTGAAGAAACCGGACATGGAGGCAGGCAAGGCTGAATCTACTAGAGTCCTAGGTATCATGCCCTTTATATCAGGCTGAATAAAAGTTACTAGTTTGGTGTAGTCAACTTTGCTGAAGAGAAAAATGCAACAATTATTGTTAAGTTTTATTAATTAGCAGTTGAACAGTCTAATTTAAAAATTTAACACGGTAAAACAGCTACTTTAGTAAAACAAAAAATGTCACTAAACAAGTTGCTTATACAAGATTTGAGAGAAAATTAATTTGAAGTTTCTTTTTAAAAATTTGATCTGATCAATCATACTTTTTAAAAAATTTTAATATTTTTAAAATGTAGCAACTTTAAACATTTATTTAAAAGTGGCACCCCTATACTTGGTCACACAAAACTTTAGAGCCAGAAATGTATGGACTGTAATTGGTTTAAGTTCCAACTCGGAACAATGCAAATTTTATTACAACTAAACAATGACTTGTTTCTTTTGAAATTGATACATTTGTATCACTTTATACATTTCTGTTGAGAAATGTTTGATGAAATTGTGCTGGTTAAAAACTTTGTACTTTTCAAGAGAAAATTGGTCAACAATTTCAGTTAAATTACTTGAAATAATTTTAAGGATCAAACATACTCTGGAACAGACATGCACATCATTCCACACGGGTGATTCCATCCTCTTACATATTCATGAACTGGTGGACAATCACTGTACTCAATACTAGTACCTGCAACAGTAGCAAAAATATAAACACAATGCACATTTTTTAACCCAGTATATCTTAGATGTAACTGCTGATATTTGTTAGTTTGGTAGGGACAAATTTATATATTTCTTTGAAAATAACAATGACTAAATAGTACTTACCATTTGTTGATATACAGTCATCAGTGATTATAGTCAGAATAACATCAATAAAATCTCTTGGGGATATAAGCCCCATTGCTGCACTGTTTGTTGTTGACCGACATATGCGTAAATCCTGAGGATTAGGTGATTATTCACACAATTGTAATTTACATAATTATGTCTCATGTTATTTATAAATAGAGAAACAGATATCATCTATAATAGAAGCAGATTATTTTAATTTAAAATTTAAGTATGCTGGAAAAATCTCACTAATTAGGCCCTATATGGTCCTCACTATTAACAAGTGCTATTATAAAAAAATAATAAAAAATCTTCTTTCTCTTTTTTTTTTGTTTTAACTTTCTTCTGTAACCACCTTACTTTCATAATTTAAATCACAATTGAAACATGGATTTTAGAAGCTTTTACTTAAATAATTTCCTGAAATAGAAATTTCAGTCTTAAAAAACATACTGGTGTAATCTGTTTGAGTATTTTGATACCAGTAATATCCTTATCCCACTTTGTTCTCATGCAATCATCGTGCAATGGGTCAATATATCTAAATATTATATCTTTTGAGCAATGGTATTCTGCTTGACCTCTGTACCTATAATTAGAGAAAAAAAAACATTACATTTGTGTAAATTATTAATCGGCAAGTAGGCCTACAATACTTTTTAAAATTTGATATAAAATAGTCACACTTGCTAACAGTTAATTTATATACAAATTTAAGTGTAGTTTAAAATAAGATACTTAAGTTATGAGCAAGAAAAGTGTGAAGATACAACATACAGGTAGCCATGCTCAAACCCTTCACATTTGGAATGTCTGTATTCAATAAGGACATCTTTCTGCAATATAATTGTATAAATAGAAAGTCAGACTACATAATCAAGTCATACACGTGATAGCTCTAGTTTACCCTACAATAGATTAGTGTCACAAAAAATAAATGGTTATAGCATGAGCGCCCTAGTTTACCCAACTATAGATTAGTGTCACAAAAAATAAATGGTTATAGCATGAGTGCCCTAGTTTACCCAACTATAGATTAGTGTCACAAAAAATAAATGGTTATAGCATGAGTGCCCTAGTTTACCCAACTATAGATAAAATGTCATAAAAAATATGATATGGCCTTTATTTGAAAATTTGCAATCTGTCCTAATCTTGATATGTATAATATTTTAAAATTCATACCAGGTAATCCAATCACAAAAAGTGATAAACATAAAATAAATGTGTAAAGGTAGGGAAAATCTAATGTTTTTAGGAGTTTATACTTGTAAGGCTTCATCAATTCTAGTGCATTGATCATCTTTATTGTAAAAATACAGTTTAAAATAGAACCTACATTACATTAATATTTTAAAGATTTGGACCATAATGTTATAATAAAAGTGCAGACAAAGGATGCTATTTCTATTATGTCCAGTTCACTTCTACAACCTGAATGACTAACACAAGTGTCTAAAGAAGCTTTATCTCAACATACTTAGATAAAGAGATAACTTTTTTCTCAATTCAGTTTTGTTAATCACAGGGCCAATGGTTTGTTTAAAGCACTCAACACATCAATGTGCTTGCTATTGGCTTTCTAAAGCTGATAAGAGACTGTAGCTGAGTAGTACTAAAAGTAGATTTTAAAAGAAGTTTTTCTTGTGATGTGACTTAGAAAATATGATGCATTTAAATTGCTGTCCGGAGAAAAAAGCATTTAAATTGACATTATGTGCTCCAAACATAAAACTGACATGGTGGATGTCACATTTCATTTTTTTCAAAATTTGGTATTTTGTATCACAAGGGGGTTTTACAAATCAACTGCGCTACTGCATGATGTTAAGTAAACTCCCTAAGAACTAAAATGCACTAACATACTTTGGTTGGAGATTGTGACAGTGCAACCAAAGATTTCTGGTTGATCTTTAGTAGAAATCTGGCACATGGAACAACATAGTGGTGTAGACTGCAAGGGAAACAAAGCAAGACATTTGGTCTATAGACCACATGATCTACCAACCCCAGAAAACTCTTTTCACAGCAGGCAAGAGGGGTTAGTGACTGCAAAGATTAGTTCCCTAGTACAGAGAGACAAACACATTTTTCACTGGCACTTTTTAATTTATTCTGAAACACATTATTATTTAAGTATTAGGGGAATGGCCTAGTCCCCTTACTGCACGCCATCTAGTTTATTTTATTTTCAGACTTCATAATATGTTAATTTTATAAATAATTAAATTAATTATAACACACGTTCTCAATTTAAAGTTTGTGGGGGGGGGAAGGGTGGTATATCTACTAGATCTATTCTAGATCTATTATAGTTAGATTTATTGTAGATTTATAGCAGTGGCATATCAATCACGTAACCATGGTGGGCAAAGTCCACAGACCCCTTGGGTTTTAATGTAAATAAGTAAGTATTTCTTCTTTGTTTCCCATTTGTGCACAAGACACATGGGGCAGAAGAAGTAGAGTTCTGTCTGTTTCAATGACCTCATACAAGCCTTGTATTACAAGGGGATAATCTGATGAGCACTACTATACCCAGCCGCCTTTATTTCCCTACCGTGAGTTAGGTACCCATCAGGGCTGGGTAGACTCAGTGACATTCTTCCGATTTGAACTTGAGACTTTCAGGTTGGCAGTCTAAGTCTAGCTCTCTACCGTTAGACCACGACGACTCTTAAATAAGTATATTTTTCATTTTGTTTTTCTGATCTATTTTAGTTATAGTCTATAGTCTATACTACTAGGAATCTAGATTCTAGATCTATATTAGATCTAGGCTATATATATATAATATCTAGAATCTATATCTAGATTCTAGAATCTAGATCTAGATTACTAGAGTAGATTAGAATGGAAATCTAGTTTAAAGTAGTTTAAGTTTAATAAATAAATATATAGATCTAGGCCTATATAATCTACTCACCGTCTTTTTAGCCGTATGCCATCCTTCTTTTTCTGTAAGATACTCTTTTAGAGTGTCCGCAGTTTTCAATCCGATAGCCTTTAATTCTTCGTCTGTCGGCATTTTGGTCAAGCTCAGACTAAAACTCAAAATATCACCTCAAACGTTGACCCCGTTCGCATCTGACTGTGAACCACGGATATTTTTGTTTATAGACTGCAACGAACGACTACACTGCACTGGCGGTGTCATGTGACCAAATCTTTTGTTCCGAGTACTGTGGCACTGATTGCCTAAACTAGGTCGCTCTGTACGGACTGTAGGCCAAATAAATAGGTTCCGCCAAAAAGCATTCGCTATCGAATATTTGCTTTTTTTAAAATAAAATGTACAGTATAAAAAAACATGCAGTTGTTAACTTTTTAAAGAAAAATCTAGATCTAGATCTATATCCTATGTAAAATGTAAATAGGTAAAATTGTTAATGTATAGGCCTACACTAGTCAATCCACACACAGGACAGAAAAAGAATTCATATGTGTAAAGAAAGAGCCTAGCCAACTGGTCACTAATGATGAGTAATGGATCACTCAGTTCTTATCGATTTTAAATTAACCACTACAGCAGACAAACATTTTGTATAGTTTAGTAGAACTACTGATGGTATAACGACAACAATAGGTGGCTACAGACTATCGTGGGCATTTGACACACTGTACTGAGTGATAGCCTGTATTTGAGTGGTTGTTTTGCCTATTTTTGTGACGATAGATCTGTATTTGCATACCTGTAGGCCTTTAAGCTCAAACATATAAACAATAATTAGTGAGACAATGTAGGTGCGAGAGATACAGTCATAGATGTAGGCTACTTTGTCCTGTTACACAACTAATTAACGCATTTAGCTTTGGGGCATCCTTTAATGACGCCCAAACGAACGGGAAGAGGAGGGCCAACAAAAGTCTGCTGTTCTCCTTTCTGTGTGGGCGGGGAAGCCCAGGTCTACGTAGATCTATGTTATAATTATACACAAAACGTTATTTGTAATGAATGTATATATATATATATATATATATATATATATATATATATATATATATATATATATATATATATATATATATATATATATATATATATATAGGCCTATTTATAGGGTTTACACATCATGGCAAAAGTCAAAACTTTACCTATAGGCTCTCCTTTAATTTCCCAAGAAAATTACTTTTTTAATACCCATAGCCGCTTATCTGCAGTTATATGTTTGTTGTATAACGGTAGCCACAGTCTAAATAAATGTCATAATTGCATATTCAAACATCAATACATTGTATTATACAAGCAGGAAAAAAAATCCATACAATAATGTATTACACTTCTAGTAAAAAAAAAATTGTGTCCACATTATGTATGTTTGTTTCTTCTGTTGTGCTGAAGCCATAGAGCCTACATTTAGGAATAAGACCTATACACTGTTGTTTTAATTGTTCTGGTTTGTTTTGTTTTTTTTTGTTATTTGCAAAGCAATACCAAAAACTCTTTGTCAGCTTTTCTGTAGCAAGTTGTTTTTTTACTATATAAGGTTGCTGACCTTATGCTCAACCCCCTACATGGAGGACTGGGTTGCTAGCTTTCATTTGACCCCTACCCGCAAAGACCTTCCCAGCTTGGTTGAACATACCAGGAGTTAACACTCCCGCTGGTAATTTTTATGTAAAACCTGTATTACTCTATGGAGCTGAGACATGGAGAATAACTGCCACAAATAAAAAGAAAATACAATCATTTATAAACTCATGCCTCAGAAAGATCCTTCAAATACGCTGGCCTAAAACCATCAGAAATGATGTTCTATAGCAACGGACAAATCAACTGCCAGCTGAGGAAGAGATTCTCCAGAGAAAATAGAAATGGATTGGCCACACACTTAGGAAGCCTGTATCCAGCATAACAAGACAGGCCCTCACCTGGAATTCACAGGGCAGGAGGAGGAGAGGCAGACAAAGAAAGACCTGGAGACGTGACATGGAAGAGGACACCAAGAAGATTGGATACACCTGGGGACAGTTGGAGAGACGCATGGAAAGCTCTTGTCAGCGGCCTATGTCTCAGGAAGGGCAACAGGTAAACCTAACCTAACCTAATACCAAAAACAGGGTTCTTGTAGTTTTAAGTGCATTCCTGTGTAGGATTATTTTGTCTTCCATTTAAAAGGCAGTTATTAGTTGAATATGGTCATTTTAAAGAAGAATTAATTTTCTTAAGATGCAACGCAATTGTATTTAATGATTCTGAATAGAAATGAAGTTTAACTATATGTACATAAAATGCTTATTTGCTGTTTATTTGTATACTTAATAGTATTGTACAAAAATAATTACAGAATGTTGGAGAAAAAAATCGTTTAACCCAAGCTAATACTATAGAAAAACCAATCAAAATTAACATGACATCTTATACCACTTTCTTGTTTAATTTCTATTTTCATAAAATTTGTAATACAAGTTTCCATTACATCATATCTTGTATAAAGAAGTGCTATAAGCCACTATAACTATAATTATATTTTCCACTTCTAGGGCAATCCAATATTCATTTAATTTTTTTTGTTTTGTGGGGAAATTAACTGAAACGTGTTTAATAATGCATACATCTCTAAATATATATACATTTTAAATGTGAAGTAAATTAAAAATATATTTAAATTGGATCTACAAAGATTATAAACTAAAGTTATAAATTTGATGAACAACTTGTAATCCATGATCTAATTAACTGATGAGCTATAGCTTGTCTTGGTGGTAGAAATAGGCCATCAGGATGTTGATTAGCCAACATCTGAGATGTTTCCGATCGAGAAAACCATCGAACTTCTTCCAATTCCTCTTTATCAATCTAAAAACATTAATTGATAATAAAATATCCTTTGATTTTGAAAATTTTATAAATTCTAAAATATTGATTTAAAACTTATAACTAAATAGTTTGAGTACTTACCTTGATAGTATCAGTTCTAGCATGTGCTATACAGCCTAACATCAAAGTTGCTGGGAAAGGCCATGGTTGACTGGAATGGTATTCGACTCTGCCAACTTTGACACCACTTTCTTCTTCAATCTCACGTCTGCATGTGTCTTCAATTGATTCTCCTTAAATAAAAATATGTAATGTCTCTTTAGATAGACTGCTAACCCAAAAGTCTTAAGTTCGAATCCGGGTTGAAGTCAGTAGAATGTCTCTGAGCTGGACCCAGGGACGTTCTCTTATGGGTAGCTTAGTCATGTTAGGGAAAGTGAAGGCGACTGGGCATAGTGATGACCACAGACACTATCCCTTCATATGCCGAGGTCATAGAAACAGGTGCCCCAAGGACTGTCAGGTTGGACAGGGGAACTAGACTGTATTTTTATATTTCTTTAAGGGAGGTCTTAAAAATAATTTTTATAAATATTATATGCGCCAAGTTTAATACTCTAAAAACTATAATAACCTGTATGAGTGTTAAATAAGTGTAAATTCGGTCTATTTTCTAAATAATGTATTTTTAACTGATAGAAAAAATTACCAGGCTCCATAAATCCAGCAAGACATGAAAACATCTTAGGTGGGAACCTATTCTGTCGACCAAGCAAGCACTGTTTGTTGTCAGGGGACACAACTAGCATAATAAGCGAAGGATCCACTCTTGGGTAACAGGTGTTACTGACTCCTGCAGTTTTGAAAAAATATATAACATGATTATTTTTGTATGAAAGGGCCATATTTCATTGTCTAAATTTCTTGATTTACCTTATTTATTTTAAATTATATTTAATTTTAAATCTATGATTCAAACTAAACATAGATGTTCATTCTCTTCCAGCTCTAAATTGAAAAGGTTTTTTTCTATTTTAAAAAATTAAACTTTTACTATTATTCCAATGTTTTAAAATAAAAGTAGAGAAGTAGGAAGTATATACTATTAGTTAATACCTTTATGACTTAGACAATCTGTATTACTACAGACTTGCTTGTAGCCACCTTCTGTGATGCTTTGTGCACTCCCACAAACTGGGCAATATCTGATACAAATAATTATAATTATGAATAACAGATGAAAACACAGAAGAAACATTGAAAATGTATTTGAAATATATTTACTTGTAACGATCAAGCCAGCTTAAGATGGAATGTGCTTCAGCAAACATGCCTGCATCACTTTCTCTCATTTGCAATGTTGTTGGAAATGCAGGCACAAAGTTACCATCAGGAAAATGCTAAACAACAAATTTAATGATCAGAAGATAATAAAATATGGCTCGGTATATACAGTAGCTCAGTGGTACCTTTGTATTTAAAATAAAACTGTAATGGCTAAAAATTATTTAGAAGATTTGGTTGAGTTGTAGCATTGGGTGAGTACAGATATAGTTTTTAAAAAGTGGAAATTTCTAAATAAAATGTAAACATTTTTATTTCTAAAATTAAGATTAAAATTCAAGCAAAATGATTTTAAAAACAGCAAGGCTTTAATTTCATTTACAATGCCCACCAACAAAATTAACAATTAACTTAATAAATTGTAAGAAAGAAACTAAAATATATATATATTGTATTTTTCTCACAGTATTTGCAAATGAAGAGCTCATATCTTTTAGCTCAATTGCAAACCATGGACTAGACTCAGGATCAAAAGTTTCTAGTCCCAAAAATATCACAGTGGATTGTTCTTTAAACTCCTGAGGTAGTTGGTCCAACATAAAAACTGCAAACCTACAAAAAGATGAGAATAATAATATTTAATAATACTTGTACAATACCTGACTGTTCTACTAATAAAAGAAAATATTACACAGTAAACTAGAAATCTCCCTGAATTAATCAAACAAGAGATGTCTTTTAAAAACTATGTTTAAAAAACTAATAGCATATAATGCTGCTTAAAATCTCTATAGCTACCCTACTGATTAGTTAACTAAATTAACAAAAAATTACACATTTTCTAAAAAAAAAATACTTGTATTGTTTCTTTGGTTCCTTAGTTGCAATAAGAAATGGGCAAAGCTTTGAAAATAAGACAAATTTTGCTGATTTGTTCATTTGAGCAGCTTCCAATAGTTTTTCATCTTTGCGCACATCTGATGCTCTATATAGTGGGTTTTGTGAGTAATAATGCCTGACTTGGTTAAACTCTGTGTTTTGTTGGTGTTGTGATAAGAGTGCCAACGAATCTTTATGATTCCAAAAGTGTGCAATATCTAAAGCAGTCTGTCCTGCTGCATTAAAGCTATATACATCACACCTGGAGAGAAAATTAAAATTTCAAATTTTTATTCCTGCTGAATTATCATGTTTGAGTTTAGATTCTTAAAGGACTGAGATTTGTGGAACAGAGGGTACCCATGAATTTACTCAAAAGAAAATCGAAATGTTAAAATCATTGGTGTCTGTGTGGTTGTATAGTTATAATTAAGCACTTGTTTTAAAAATTATCATTTATTAAAGGGGTAATTTCATTTAAACAGATTCATTTTTTTTATTTCTTGGATCATTTGCAAATATTTAAAAAAGCATATTTCCATGTGTTATTAAAAAAAAATGATTCACGAACACATGCTGTTGACTATTATTATTTTAAATTTTAAAATCCTTTATCAATTACAAGTTAAAATAAGAATGTTTCATAAACTGAAAATAAAATTAGAAGTAATATAGAGCTGTTTTATATATAGATACCCTTTTTCAATTAAAAAAGAGATGACTGCTGTCTGACCATTTCTTGCAGCTAACATCAATGCTGTCCATCCTCTTTCACTTTTTACATCAACGTCAACAAGACCTGTTAAATTTTAACATACCTACATAAATACTTAATGCATGAATTTTTGTTAACCTATTTTAACAGTTACAGTTACAATAAATGTTGCAAATTCTGTTTCACATACTCAAAATAAGTTTTCTCTAATGCAAACTTGAACAGTAATATAACAAATGAGCTATGGCGTCATCCATTCGTCACACTACTAGAGGGCAGGTAGGGTTCATAATTTTGGGACAATGTGTGATTAGGGGGAGGCGTTTAGATAGTGTGTTATCACACTTTTGCATTTAAAAAAACTGATGCTAGAAACTGAATTTGAACCAACATTTCTAATTTTTTTTTTAAATTGCTTTTGTCAAATGAAATTAATTTTCTCTCTGTTGCCAATATGAGTCAACATTTTAGAAAGAAATCGATGTTTTAAAAAAGAAATCATTCATAAAAGCATGACAACATTTATGGATGACCCCTCTTTTTTTAAGGGTAATTTACAAGCAAAAATATAACAAAACCAATCAATAAAAGAATTATAATCTTTAACTTTGCTATTAGCAATTAGTACCACCTTGTAAAAAAAATTGAAAAAATACTACATATAATTTTATTTGAATTATTTTTCCCCACAAAATTTTAAAACTGTTACCTATAATTTTTTTCAGCTCTTCCAGCTCTCCTTTTGCAGCACAGTCTAGAAATCGTGCATTTATCTGCTCCTCTTGGGGATTATCTTTAGCTCCAGATTTTACACTCATATTTCTAACACAAATAGAGGTAATACATCAAAAAACTAAATGAGCACCATCTTTTTAAATTCAGTAACCAATGTATTTCAATATATTCTAACGTTTTTTTTTTTTTTTTAAATCACAATTCTATCTATCTGGTTTAATTACAAAATGGTACTTTTAAAATTTGTCCCTACCTGTTTGGACTTAACAAAATGTTGGGAGTGGTTAGGTTTGGGTAAAGCAGGTAAAGATTATATTGATATCTTGACCAATGAAGAGATTGTTTATTTACTGCTTTGGATAATGTCTTGCTGTAAGAATAGCCTCTGACTGGTACTTTACTGCTTCCTATTACTTGGCATAGACTTTTGGTTTTTTTAATGCTGTAGTTACAGTTTGATGACGTGGTTATGGTTATTGTCCTTCTGAAAATCTTTTCTACAACCAGAAGAGTAGGCTTCAGTGAATTTACTTGTGTTGTTTTTGTATTTGAAATTAAAGCTAAAGCCCTAGTAAAATAGGGTGTTAAAAACATTGAATGCATGCAGGAATATAAGTTATTTTAACTTAGGCTGAGCTTTGACAGTCTTCTTAATTATCTTAATAATCTTTGTTTACTAGTTTAGATTCTAGTTTAGTAGTTACTAAACTACACTCAAACACTGGTTGACTACTTGTCCTTGACTAGGGACTTAGGTACGTCGTAGTAGTACTAGTTAGTACTGAAGTAGTAGTACGTACCGTACACACACGGCTACACCGTCTACACGTAACACTACAGTCGTATTTATAATTTTAAACTTTAGGCTAGGGTTAGATTTTATTACCGTATCCTATATTTAATAACTGTAGTATGTTATTTTTAAATCTGCATGTTGTGTTCTAGTTGGCTACTACAAGACATAATTGTCAGCCTAATAATTGACTGTTGATGAGTTGTTGAAACAGCTGATCTTGTTTACAATTTGAAAAGCTCAAAGGTCAACTACTATTGCCAGTTTTTTTCCGCAGTAGAAAAAAAATTGCTGCAATTTTTTTTTTTTTTTTTTAATTTTCGACAGAAAAATGCTGATGTTGTAGAATTTTTTATATTTAAATTTTTAACGTTGGACAAAGCTGAATTTTAAAACTTAAATAATGTGTAAAACTCTACCGCTTTTATTTTTATGTTGTAGGCTTAGATCAAAGAACGACTACTACTCTGACTAGGTCTATTACATGCATTCTATCACATTCTGTATGTTTAAATAATAAATAAGATACAAGTTATTAACGATATAATTTTCGAACTAAAATAAAATAAATAGGCAACAAATTATGAATAGGCCTACATCTATATACATTTTGTATTAATGTAGTCGACGAACGCCAAGCAGTAAAATCTAGGCCCTAAGCCTGCGAACTAAGATGAATCAAACCTCGTTTCAACCACACGAGAGTAGTACGAGGGCTTGATTATTTTTAACTGCCATAGGTGCGGTCGGAGACTGAACTCGGTACTTGAGAACTGATGCAAGCTTTATATCAACTGCTTAAAATGGGTGATGCAAAATCATTTGTGGATTCCAAAATTGCAAGCAAGAAAGTAATGATTTTCTCCAAACAGGGCTGTCCGTATTGTAGCAAAGCGAAGAATACGTTTTCTAAATATCTAGGAGACGTTCTCTCGAATGATGACTATGAAGTTATTGAAATTAACGAATTAACCAACTGTTCTGATATTCAGGATTACCTACAAAAACTTACTGGTGCAAGATCGGTAAGAAACAATAATATTCTCTATTTTAAAATGGGATTATGATGGTTTAAATTTTTTTTATTCCTTTGTGTTTATAATGGACTTAAGCCTAGATCTTCTTACTTACTGACTTACTACTTTTATTAGCCTATATTTAATATTTAAGTTAGTAGGCCTAAGCCTAAGTGTAGTAAAGTTCCCTTTCAAACCTGACAGTCTACGGCCTACGGGGACAAGTGAAGTAGAGTTCACTTGTTTCTGTGACCTCGACATATGAACTTATGAAGGGATAGTGTGGTCAGCACTATGCCCAGCCGCCTTTACTTACCCTAACGTGAGTTAGGTACCCATCAGAGCTGGGTGGACTCAGAGGGGTTTTACTGATTTGAACCAGGATTCGAACTCGACTTACGGGTTAGCAGTCCAGCTCTGTACCGCTAGACCACTCCGCCCCTTAGCCTATATTATATTAGGCCTAATTTAAATTTAACACAACTTTTAATTCATGTCTTCACTACAGTTCAGTTCAATAGTGTAAAGTCTACACCTACTTCTATGAGTCAGATACATGCTTTTTTGTGTGTGCTAAAGTTGGCTATTGCTATTTTATTCATAATCATTATGTATATTTCACAGGTACCAAGAGTGTTTATCAATCAGAAATTTGTTGGGGGTGGAGATGATGTTGTTGCTAAAGATAAAAGTGGAGAACTGAAGATATTGCTGAATGCATGAATAAAGAAAAGTCTTTTATAGTCATTTCTGTTTTATAAATATTATGGCAAGGGATATTATAATCAGTTGAATGAAACTTTTTAAAAGTTTTATCTTTATAAAAGAAATTACTCTGACACATTGAATGTTTGTCTACTTAAAGCTGGCCTTATGTGGTTAAATAATGCCTTCTGCTATAAAACCACATTATTTCAATTTTTTTAAAGTTCCTCCTTGCAGAATCTTTCAGGGTAAAAGAATCATTATCTTATGATATTTATGCATAAACATACAATAAGTGTCTGTGTGCAATTGTTCCATATTTAAAATATCATAATCTACCCAAATAAAGATGATTTCTCTAAATATTTTTTAGTTAATATTTTACTGTTGTAGATTTATGTTTATTTTCTCTCTAAACATTTGCATTCAAACATTTTCAATGTGTTGGTCATTATGATTATGTTATCACTGACTACTGCCTCTAAATTTTCACACATCTAGATAGATGTCACACTTATTTATTGCATATTTTATCACATGATTTACAAATCTTCGTCTTTATGCATTAAAGCAATAGGAACTAAATTTGTTTTGTTTTTCTATTTCTACCTATTTGTACCAAGCTTGTGCAATATAAAAATCGAAAAGATAATTTTATTTAGTAAATTATTAGGATCAAGAACCAAAGCAGTTCAGTTAGTATAGGAAGCATTTGATTTAATACATGGATGCTAATCATGAAATTTTTTTTTTTAAAAATGAATTTAAAAATCATTTATACACCTGTCATTCTCTAAACTACTATTGTACCATATGGTTTTGACTAACAATCTTAAGTAAAAAAAAATTTCTCTTAAAATTGCTAAAACTACATTACTCATGTGTAAGCAGCTAGGTGGTCCTAGATTCTTAGATTGGCCGTTCAGTGTTGGTCTAAGGGGAGGTAATTTGTATTGACTGTAGCTGTCATGAATAATGTCCCTGGAAATTTCATATGTTGAGCTGAAAAAAAAAATTTAGTTGGCAAAATAGCGCGTTTTCAATGCTAAAGAAAATTCCTTCAAAAATTTTTCTTGGGATTTTCGATAATTTAACAAATAAAATCACGTCTCTTTATAAATAAACTGTCGTGTTACGGGTCGTCCATAAATGACGTCACACTCGTAGGGGGGGGGGGGGGGGCGGGGTCACACTTTTGCTTTATAGATAAGAAATGTTAGGAAACGAATTTTAGACGTTATTTAGCGTTTTAGAAAACAGTTTAAATAAATTATAATAGGAATTGATTAAAGTACTCAATTTTGACATATTTCAGACAAGATTTTGGAAAAATAAAATATTGATGTTTAAAAAAATTCAACTGCAATTTTGAGGGGGGGGGGGGGGGTTGTAGGCTGAGGCGTGATGTCATTTTAGGGGGGTCTGGCTTTGTGTGACAGAGGGAGGGGGGGAGATTTAAAAAGCGTGACATCATTTATGGATGACCCCTTAACAAAATGTAAATACTAAAACTTAATCAGTTTCAACACTTGCCAGTTTGTGTACAGATCTGTTTTGGTCTGTGATTTTTTTTTTTAAAGTTGGCCCTTTTATTGTTAAAAATGTTTATAAAACTTTATGGAATTCAAATAATTTTTATAATTTATCTCTGAGAAAGTGACATAATGCTTTAAGCATACTTTCTTTAATCTAATGTAGCACCATGATTTTACAACAAAAAATAATACTTAAAATGAGTTATGCACAACCAACGATAATGGTGTGCACACATTGGGAATTTCCGAAAGTGAACCTTTTGGTGAACGCGATTTTGAAATGATTTTTGTTGAAAAGATCGACACAAGATAACGTAGAATGTCTGCGTTAAGATTATCTTTTGGTTCACAATACAAATTTCCTCTAAAGTTATATAAAGTCGTCGAAGATGGAATACTGATCAAGTGGACGAATGACGGACAAGGTCTGGTTGTCGAAGAAAAAGATTTCGAAGAAAAAGTCATGGCTCTCTACCCTGGGTTTGTACAGGTGCATACGTTTCACAACCTTCGCCGTCTGTTCCGTGATTACAACTTCAAATTTCGCGTTTTGAGGCGCAGAAAACCGCAAGGTGCTAAACTGGAACTGCGCCATCCGTACTTTACTAAACACAGCGTTGAGAAACTAATCCACGTACGGAAGAAGAACCACCGGCTGTTTTCTCATCCACTGGCAACGTCCTCTCCTAAACGAACCAAGAGGAAATGGAACTCTAGCCGACTGAAGGTGTATGACTCGAACCAAAACGTAGAATGCATGGATTTGTCTACGGATGTCGAGGACGGCGAATCATTATCCACGTTTGTGTCTAACCAAAGTGACTCTGAGTACAGCTGGGGAGGGGGAAGCCCTCGCAGATCTCTACCCATGTTGACGTTTGGAGACCATCGTGACAGCGGAAACACGCCTACTTGTAATGAAACAAAGGTACACAATCCGATTGGGTCTGAACGGAAGTCAAGAAATGACGAAGTGTCTTTGAGGCTCTTGCAGACTTGTGCCAAAAATGAACTGACTGAGGACGGTTTCTGGGAACTCATGATGCGGAGGTGTCCTCCACAAACCCATGGCAACTCGTGGGAAGACGTGATCAAGAACTTTGATCACAACGTCATTCACGAGTTATCTCCCTTGCATTTTAAAGGTTATTTTTATCCATTATCATTGGAAGAAATGTGATTTAAATTAAAGGAAATTATAAAATGGGATATAATAATGTGAATAATTCATTTATAAAATATCAACTTTATATATTACTCTTCAAAATTTTTAATATAGATCTATATAGGCTATATAATGTATATATATTGTTAGATCTGCTTGAAAATCTATTTCTCAATGGTAAATAGTAAATTTATTGAAATCTTTTTTTTTAATTTGGTGTTGAGTTTAATAATGCTAATAAACCCATTACAATAAGCAATTGTAATAGTACATTAATTGGTGCTTCCCACATCTGATATATTCTGGTTTGTCTTACAGTAAAATGTATATGTAACAATGGTGTGGCAAGATGAAAAAATAAGATCCAACTATACAATGAACATACTTTATTCAACTTCTCTAGCAAATATCAGTAAGAGCATCTACCACTCACAAACACAACCTACTGCTCCTCTACTGCCAATTTTAAAAAAATTACACTTCAAAACTAAGCCCGTCTCTAAAATTATCAATACTTAATTCTATAGTTGGAGTTTCTTTCATAATTTTTATACACTGCCCCTGGTTGAAATGGGAAAATAAGACTTCAGTGTACTGTAGTTTCTAGTGCCCTTCTTCTCACTTATCTACCCCCCCCCCCCCTCACCATGGAGAAGCACAGTTTGAGTTGTCTTGTCAACAATAGTAGAAGGCACTGTGATTGCTAGATGCTAAAATATTAGATATCAGACAAGCAAACACATTTCAAAACTCCATAAAATTGGTGTATAAACTGTATTAAAAAAAACTTCTGTTACAGGCAAGTTAATATGTTTACAAGTTTATATAAATAAATAGATTCTAACAGTTTATCACATCAATATTTTAAAACAAAATTACAAATGCTTGCAATTGATTTTTATTAAACACCACAAATTATTGATAATTAATACTAATAACAATTAAGTATGTAGTATTCAGTTTTGTAAAAACTTGAAATCAAGAAATAACTGCAAACAAGCATATAATAATGTTTTGGATATGCTGACATCAAGAATACACTTTGGGTGGACAGTAAAATTATTTAAGTTACAAGAAATAGGAAATTATTACAGATACATTTTTTCTCCATTTTTAATTTCCTCCAACACAATTAGGTATTACGTGTCAGTATATATTCTGATTGGTGTGAATTAAATGTGTTTAAGGCCAGGAAATCATTTAGATTAAAACAGAATATTTTGATTAAAATTAAGAAATCAAGACTGAACTGAAAGGAAATAAATTTACAAAATAAATCACATTTGGTCATTTCTAAAACAATTTTCCATTTAAAACAAAAATTTACAATAAAAAGTTGTTCAAAGTCTCAAAGAAGAAAGAACTTTAAGAGATGTATATATTTCTCTTAATTCAATATTTGCCTGAAAATACCCAAGTATTCATAAAAATATAGTAAAAGATTTAAAATATCTGCATAGAATAAATTTCTTGGCAAACAAAAAATATCTGACAATCAAATGTCTTGCACTAACAACAAAAAATATCTGTCATTGTCAATCAAATGTGCATTAACAACAAAAAAATGTCTGTCAAATCAAATGTGCATTAACAACAAAAAAATGTCTGTCAGTCAAATATTGTGCATTAACATTTCAATTTGTATATAACCAAAGAGTGAAAGTTGACTGAAATCCAACAGCAGGAATGTGCGAATATCAACAATTCAGACCCAACATTAGATAATATCTTTCTTACATTAGTAAAAAGCCATTATATAAGATCTTTTTCAATATTTCTTTGTAAAACAAAATTAAGTTCCCTTTTGAGACAAGTTTGTCTCTATAATTTCTTGAGACTCTTTTAAAAAGTTTTATGAGCATACCACTCAACCACACACACAACTATATATATATATATATATATATATATATATATATATATATATATATATATATATATATATATATATTTTTTTTTTTTTTTTTTTTTTTTTTTTTTTTTTTTCTGTACAATATAATATCTATTTTTAAAATTCTGTAAAATATAATTTTAATTTAATACAAGATAAGACAAAATAAGAATACATATTGCTACATTTTGTTCTAGGCAGTAAATACATTCCTTATAACAAGAGCTGCGAAAAAGAAACTACATCACTGCTTTGGTTACACAACCTTGAGTACACTTTTCAAAATGGAAAAAATGACCCCTGCTCTTTTTTAAAAAGAAGGCATAACACATCCAACCTAGACAAATAAAACAAAAAGATATCATTACAAGCAAGCCAAACTGATGTTGGAAAGGAGCCAGCACTACCATCAGATACTTCAACATATCCATCAGTTGGTTTAGTGAGGTCTGGACGCCATTGACTTTTCCCCTTTCATCCTCTGCAACAGACTCCATGAACAGCTGGCTGATAGACAGATCTACAACCCATAAACCTGGGAAAATGTGAACCAAAAAAAATTAACACTGTTTAATGGGTTAACTAAAAACTGGGCTACTGTTTTAAAACTTCACAAACAGGTCTACAGTACACACCAAATCTTGCTGTTACTATGCCAACTAGTAACATCCATATAGAAACATTTGATGCCAGATCAATGGTATGTGGGGTGCAGTCCATTGTCTCATTAGAAGAACTTGGATCTGCTAATTAAAATGATTATATTTAGAGCCAATGTAGTTATGTAGAATAGTTTACCTTGAATAAAATATTTATATATTTTTTTTATGATAGTGCATAATACTTCACTTAGTTAAAATAAAAATTTTGACAAATCATATAAGAGGTAATTAATGAGAAACTGCTACACAGAGATGAACTTGCAAATCATTCACTAAGTTAATCAAACTAATCTACATTACACAATATGTAAAATAATTGAAAAAAAAGGTTTAAAGGTACTTCTTGTAATTGTGGACTTACCATGTGTACAATTGTCATTTTCTAAAAGTGTAGAATTAAGATCTGATGATTTTGATAAGTCAAACTTGCTCCCTGGCATCCATACAGATATAACACATGGAACAAGACATGCCACTTGGAGAGACAGCCCAAAAATACCAGTCCTCGGTAACTGCAGTCTGCGTCTCATGATAGGATACATCACAGTGCCAAAGATACCAAACAGTGCAGCAAAGCCCATTATAATACCTACACCAGCTTCTGGAACTCCATTCATCTTAGCATACCCTGAAGGATAAGTCAGATATTTGTAACATCATAGCATAACCTGAAGGAGAAGTCATATATTTGTAACATGTTAGCATAACCTGAAGGAGAAGTCAGATATTTGTAACATGTTAGCATAACCTGAAGGAGAAGTCAGATATTTTTGTAACATGTTAGCATAACCTGAAGGAGAAGTCATATTTGTAACATCTTAACATAACCTGAGGGAGAAGTCATATTTGTAACATCTTAGCATAACCTGAAGGAGAAGTCATATTTGTAACATCTTAGCATAACCTGAAGGATAAGTAATATTTGTAACATGTTAGCATAACCTGAAGGAGAAGTCAGATATTTGTAACATCTTAGCATAACCTGAAGGATAAGTAATATTTGTAACATCTTAGCTTAACCTGAAGGAGAAGTCATATATTTGTAACATCTTAGCATAACCTGATGGGAACATCTGATATTGTCTAATATTTAGTCATAGGCCTACAATGACACAGCCATTTAAAATCTGCTTTTGTAATATTATATGTTTAAAGAGGTAATTAAAAAAAAAATTTCCTTTAGTCTTTTACTATTTGCAAGGAGTAATCCTATCAAATCAAGTAAATATAAAAGTAAAAAATCCTGTCAAATCAAGTAAATATAAACCACTAACAAACATTGTATTAAAAAATGTAACCACTTACCAACAGTTATACTGTCAAAACCAAGCACAGTCATATACAAGCAAGCTAACGCAAGGCCGGCATAAAAAACATCATAGCGTGCATACACTGGCCAGCCTCGGTACAGCCTTTCTAAACTGTTGAACAGTCTGTAGCATTTACACTGAGTTTTCTTTACCTCCACTACAGGAGAGTCCTGACATAATAAAGATAATACAATGTTTATGTCTTATAATCAATAACTGTAGCTGTTTGACTTTTTTGCTGTTTTTTGTTTATATCTATACTTTATTGTTTAAAACAATTACAATTCTTTAAACATTCTCCAAAAAAATACCTGGATCATCATTGGTTTTTCAGCTTCAATTTCTCTGAGGGCAGTAGCACCATCCTCTTCTGGGCATTCGAGGTTCTCTTTGTTTACATTGTCAACACTTGACCCATCAACATTTCCACCTGATTGGTTCATCATAAATATATAAGAATTTGAAACAATATATCTGGAACAAAATAAATATTCCTTTTATCATGAATAAATATATGGCTTAATAAAAAACAAATAGTCCTTTTAATAGTTCTTTCACACACAATAGATTTAATAGCTATATTTTCATGTTCATAAGTTCAGTTTAATTCAGTAAATAAAATCTTGTAGTCAAAATATTTCCAAGCACTGACTTCATTGTAACATAAAAATTAAATCCCTGTGTTAATGAAACAAAATATAATCATTTCATTGTTGCTTTATGAACTAGCACTTACCACTTACTGTCTTTTCTTCTTTCATTGTTACATTTTCTTCCTCAGGCTCTTCTACCACAACTTCTATTTAATTGCAGAAAAAGTTTTGAATCAATAATTCTATGTTTTACTACATTCCACATGTGTATGTTTGTATTTAACTATTTTAACTATAGGCTCTAAACATTTGTTTTAAATGTTCAATGTAGTGATCTATACATACTCTGAGATTTTTTCAGGTTCTTTTTCTTCTTCAAAGCAGGCACAGTGTTGTAGACTCGCCATAAAAAATAATATTCAATGAACACTGAGACCAGATTCCACGCTCCAATGAACAGTGCACCAAACATCACACCAGCATAAGTCATAATTAAACCTGTCGCTATTGGAGCCAGTACTTGAGTGGTCAGATCAATACGCCTCAATGATGCTGTCATTGCTGGTAATACAAACCATTAAAAAATTTAACCTTGAGTTTAATTAATATATGTAGGGTACATTAGAGAAGAAACTTTTTATAATTTATACAGTAAAACAATCATAACTTAGTGACTATTTCAGAGTCTTTAATTGTTTTCACCTTTAAAACGTACATGTGCTATAAACTATATAACTAGACCTATATGCCAATTCAACAACAGTAGTAGTACGTTTATGTTAAAATTATTGAAATAAAATACTGTGTAATTCTTAATGCATAATCAACACTAACTTACAATTGCCTAATAATATTAATGCATGAAAGAATTTTTTTTAAAAATCTTTGACAAGTTCTTCCAATATATATTAACTCTAAAATACAAATCCTCTATTTACTTGCTAGTCTGTCAGAATCTTTTCCACACATTTCAACAACCCAATCTTTCTCTACAGCAATACGGCGAGCCATGCTGGTAAGTCTTGATAAAACACAGAGTAGGATGATGAGGGAGTAAATTGTGTATCTAGTCCAGGCGCCATAGGCTAATATGCTGTCAGTGTACACTAGGAATATGTACACAACTATAGCACATATCACTACGAAAAGGTTCTGTAAAACAAGAGCAGTCTGTGCAGCTGTTAAAAAAATAAGAAATTGTTTTTATTTAGAACTTTACCTTATGATATGGTAATACTATTAAGTCTAATGTACGTTCTGTACTCCTCTATGCTGCAGAGTCATGGAAACTAAACAAGAAAGGAGAGAGCTGACTCAGAGGATTTGAAAGAAGATCCCTCCAACGCATCCTCAGAATAAAGTGGGACGACAAAGTCCCGAACAAGGAAATATGGCGAAGGACAGGATTAAACGACATTGTTTCAGAAGTTCGAATGAGGAGATGGAGATGGCTGGGCCATGTCCTACGCATAAGCAAAAGAAGACTCCCCAACATGGTGTTGAAGTGGACTCCGCCTGGAAAGCAAAAGAGAGGAAGACCACTGGGAACATGGAGGAGAGATGAAAGAAGAAGTGCAGGCTACTGGCTAGACCTGGCTTGAACTAAAGTTGCTCGCCCATGACAGAGTGGAATGGCGGAGATTTGTTGTTGCCCTATACTCCACAGGGAGTGATGAGGGTTAAGTAAGTAAGTATGGTATTACTATTAAAAAAGAATGAAGTGATACTACTAAGCCAAATTGTAATGAAAACATTTCAGGGCTACTGTGATATTCCGCATTAGAAATAACTAACTAAAACTAAAATAAAAACACATTTTTGTTCCTCCATCTCTCTAATTATGTAGGCCTATTGTATATTATTTTGTATCAATGATTACCTTTTAGTCTAGGTGTTTCATCCACAATGTCACCAACCAAAGCCCCAAAAAACAAGATGCTTAAGCCTATACATAGTCCATATATTGCCGTAAGCTGAAGAGACTCTGGGCTGATGTTGATCAAAAACAAGCCAATGCCAAACGCCCACATGCGATCCCCCTAAAATAAAGAAAGTCATTTTTTTCTTTAATTATTTCCAAAAACAAAGTTGTATTTATTTGTTGGGTCTACTGTATGGTTGGCCAAAACCATCTAATAGGCCTACTCAAATAGGTATTAATTATAGAGACAGGTTTAGCTTTATTAATATTTAATTAAGGTATTGTAAAACTTACCCATGATGATAAAAAATGACTTAGATAAACATAGAAGTTTGTCCCGGTTATCCACTCAACACAACTTTTACAGCAAGCTGGAAATTCATAATTTCTTTATATTTTATATTCTACACAATCTTAGTATGAAGTAAGATCTAGTATAGAGTGGCCGTCCGATCTGCACCATGCACAACGCTGCGATCGCGCTCCCGTAAAGTCACGTTTTCGGCTATAGCTACTTTATTTTAATGTTTTATGCAAAACCGCAGTGTTTGGCACGTCATATTTTCATTTCTGAACACTTCTATGTATAGTTCATGCTATTTCGTTTTTCTGAAAATTGATTATAATTTTTTAAAAATTGCATGGTACACATTTTCTCCTTTCACACTCTCCCGGATGTACCGACAGAGTTCGGGATTAGCTTCAAAACTTGAACCAATCAACAGTTAGATAAAATGTAACGCTAAAAATAGCTTCTAGATACATACAGCTTACTGTACATGTCAAGGTTGATGGGGTTTTCTCTTCTAAAATTAGAAAAAAGGGGTGATTACATGATTTTTGGTCCCTATTGGTTTTCTTACCCGATTGCGCTCACAACTCAGAATATTGCTTATTAAATAGGAATTTGGTTTAAAACGTTAATTAGATCACTGGAAGGATGGGGAAAAGCATGACCTAGCTTGCCATAAGGTTCTTTGGACCTGACAGGCTCAGCGGGAGTCATGTGACCAGGCAAGCTTCGAGGTAGGATAAGTGGGTCACGTGACTTGCTCGGCATAATAGGTAGGCTGAATAAGGATCATTGAAATATTTAAACATACTTATAACACAGTATACACATAAAATATGCAGCATATAATGGTTATTTTATTTGTTTAATTAACTTTTAACAGACTAAATAGTCTAAATGAATAAAATAAGTCCTGAGCACAATCTGGGTCGATCTGGGTCAAGTAAGCGCAAGTGACTGCAAGAAGGATGAAAAAAAAAAAAGTGATTGCCGAGGTGGTTCACCTCCATAATTTGAATTATCTCCAATGCTATGCGTAGGAATACAATATGACTCATACCTAATATAGTAGAATGGACGTAGAGTTACAGGATACTTTCGGTTTGTTTGTATGTGAAACGGTCATTAAATAGCGCCTAATGGAAATTGGGAGTTCCGCTCACGAGCGCAGATCGGACGGCCACTCTAGTAATAATCTTAATTAAAAATTTTAGGCCTATAGTACATCTACATCTTATTCTATTTATTTCAGTTTAAGAGACGACTCGAAATATCATCCAAATTAGGCCGACTTATTACTTTAATAGTTAAAACTTAATAGTTTAATAGTAATATTATATTAGGCCTATACTCTAATAGTTATAGTAGGCTAATGGCTAATGGCTAATAGACTTTAGACTATTAATTTATTAAATAATACAATAATACGTACTCATGGTGAATTGTTATGTTCGCTTCTTATCATAAGTGGTATTGTTGCTGATTTGCTACTGAATCGTAAATTTCAAATTAGGCATAATGATTCATTGATTGCAACAATAAATTCAATTGAATTGTCAATGATCATCACTGCTTTGTTTTTGTTTATGAAAAGAGATTAGCCTAAGCTAAGGGGAAACTACTCTGAATTTATTGTAAGCTAAAGATATAATATCTACATTATTATATTTTTCGAAACCATTCGCTGAAAATAAAAAAAATAAATACTCAGCACATCTGTTTTAAAATGCAGACTGAAAGAACTTCAAAGATGTCATATTCTCGTTTATTTATAGATCTAGTAATGCGCAGATTGAAACAATTAAATATTTAAACATATGCTTTCCTCACAGTTTTTCTTCCAGATTTTTTTCTCCGGGGGGGGGGGGGGCACTTGATATTTTCGGGAGTGGGGGGGGGGGGGGCGGACACTAGTAAAAGTATGTGTTTACAATATAAACGAGATTTTTACTAGTGTCCGACCCCCCCCCCCGGAAAATGTAGACCGCCCCCCCCCCCCCGGAGAAAAAAGTCTGAAAGTAACACTGGCCGTCTTTGTTTCCGTATCGTGAGTTAGGGGTCGTCCATAAATTACGTCAGACTCGTAGGGGAGGGGGGTCCGTAATTTTGTGACGGTGTGTGATGAGGGAAGTGGGGGGGGGGGGGTCAGATGGTGTGACGTCACACTTTTGCATTATAAAAAAGCAATGTTAGAAAACGACTTTTAGCCGTTATTTCGCGTTTTAGAAAACTGTTTTAATAAATTGTAGTAGGAATTGATTAAAATACTCTGTTGATAGAGTTCAGATAAGACTTTGGAAAAAATATCGATCTTTTACGAAAATTCAACTGCAATTTAGGGGGGGGGGGAGGCTGAGGTGTGACGTCATTTAGGGGGGGGGTCTAGTTTTGTGTGACGATGTGTGACCAGTGTTTCTTCCAGACTTTTTTCTCCGGGGGGGGGGGGCACTTGAAATCTTCGGGGGGGGGGGGGGCGGTAAACTTTCTTCGGGGGGGGGGGCGGACACTGTTAAAAGTATATATTTTCTATATAAATTATATAAATTTCATTTCGTCCGGGGGGGGGCGGTAAAATTTTTTCGGGGGGTCTAAGCCCCCCCGAAGTGATGCCTGGAAGAAACTCTGTGTGTGACGGCTGGGAGGGGTAAAATTCGTCAAAAACGTGTGATGTCATTTATGGATTACCCCTTAAAAGAACCTGGATGTTTGATTCACCATGTGCCTCAACCAAGCAACCGCTCCCTGTGACTTTTTAATAGTATCATGCCGGACACCACTTCAGAGGCGTAGCGACCCTTCCCGGCGCCCGGGGACAAACTTTCGATTTGCACCCCCTCCCCGCAAACTTTCGATTTGCACCCCCCCCCCTCGAACTTTTGATTTACACCCCCCCCCCCCTCAAACTTTCAATTTGTTTTTCCAACCCATTTCGGCACCCCCCTGGCCCTAAGGTCGGCGCCCGGGGACATATGTCCCCGATCCCCCCTCGCTACGCCTCTTTTTAACTTGCTTCCTCGTGCTTATAGTGCTTTTGTCGTGCTAATGAGTAGAGACGGGCGAGCGTAATTTTGTCCTTTTCTACTGGACTGATTTATTTTAAACTTGGTACGGAGTTCAAGATCGACACGATGACAATGCAGAGTGAAATCAAATTAGACTTAATTTAATGCTTAATTAATTTTAAAGAATTAATAACAAATTTCCTAAATAAAGTACACATTTGCGTGTTATTATTCGCACATAGTGTTCGTTTGGTGGCGCAAAATGTTTTTAGTCACGCATATCTATAGCTTTTATAGTATTAACATTATTAAAGTATTGAAAACTAATTCATAAAAAGTGCTTTAATAACAACATTTGAAATAAGTATGCACCAAAAAATAGAGAAAATAAACGATTTTCTTTAAATATGTTATAATGCACCGTCTGTTAAATAACTAGATCTATTGTATATCTATAAAGAAAAGCGTAGGTCGCGGGAACTATCATATCTCATGCAGTGTTTCTTCCAAACTTTTTTACTTTCTCGTATATACGAAGTATAGAGAAAGTATTGTAATCGTGCACAAAAATCACTTGAAATTTTAACATCTTTCACCGTATTACACCTCAGTCCTTCATCACATCCGAAGTTTAGAGGACTTATTTTAATCGGGCAAAAATTATCAATCCAGATTTATCAAAATTAAGAGGTTTTATGCGTAATCCAGTCTGAAAAACTGGGCTTTGCAATTCTGTCCGTATGTCTGTGTGTCTGTGTGTGTGTCCGTGTGTAAACACGATAACTTGAGTACCGTTACAGCTAGGTTGATGAAATTTCATATATAAGTATTTTATCAAAATCGTAGATCCGTATCAACTTTTGAGCGATTTCCAATAACCGGAAGTGGTACTTTTTCTACTTTGAATTTTTCAAAAGCCTATAACTTGAGTACTATTTCAGATAGATAAATGAAATTCCACAAGTAAGTATAAGATCTAATTCTCTACCTTATGTTAAATTTTGAGTAGCTTCCGTTGACCGGAAGTAGTAATTTACGCTACTTCCGATTTCTCAAAAAACTAATGTAAATTTGTTAAGTACTAATACTATTGCGCACTATTATACACACCTTTATTAGGCGTTCGCTTGGCGCGCAATTGTTTTTTACTGAGATTCTATTCTATTTTTAAAAGTTTAAGTATTTAAAATGGATTAAAAATCATAACTATATCCCCAGTTACCATCCCCTGTTGTTTTATATAAGAATATTCGAGAAAGTTTAGGGGAGATCACTACCGGTTTATTTTCTCCGGAGTGGGCTCTTGAAATTAGGGGGGGGGGCGGACTAAAATTTAAGAAATGACCCACGTTTTTCTTTATACTTGTTTAAATAGTTGTGCATTATAATATGTTTAAAGGAAATAATTATTTTCCTCTTTCTCATTCATATAAATCTAAAAACTTGTTATTAAATAAAACCCTTTTTAAAAATGTAGTCCTACTTTTTTTAAAATAGTTTTTTAAAAATACTAGATTCATGTTGCCAGATAAAAATTCTCTAAAGTTAATTTACATTTATGTAAAACCACCGATAAACTGAAATAAAAACTTGGCATTTATATTAAGTTTCCAGCACATCGTATAAAATTATATTTAATTGAGTTAATAACCGACTTAGTAAATATAGGCATTTTTTACTAATTAGTTCGAATAATAGCGATACTTATAGGACAAATTAAGTTACTGTGTTAAGCCTACTGTTTTATTTTTTAAGCTAGGCCTAGCTATCTTTATGTGGTTGAGTACAGTTTCAGCAGTCATATTTCTTCAAAATGGGAGAAGAAGAAACTGAACGATATGAAAAAATTGACTTTTTGGGCGAAGGACAGGTATAGAATAGTATAGATCTATCAAGATTTATGTTAATTTTAAATTAAAACCTTCAACTTCAAGCACTAGTATTTTACTTTTTTGTGCATTAAATTAAATTGAATCCTATGAAAAATAAATAATAATGTGATAAAAAAACAAACGACAGAACACAGATGTTGAGATATCCTGAGTTTGAGACCTGACCCTGAGATTACTCCAGTCCTGGACTGAGTCCAGTAACTCAGATAAAAATTAAATTAGAGACCCCTCTTTTTAACTCTTTTAAAATAAAAAAGACAAAAAGAGTTTCTCACGTTAAAACTGAAATTTAAACTAATCTTTTTTTAATTAGCCTAGTTTAAAAAAAAAGATTATAATTTGTTTAGTAATACTTGTAATAGTAGTTAGGCCTCAGTCTACTAGATCTAGTACTCTACTACTTGGCTTAGTTAGAGTAATGGCTTTTAGTACTTATTAGGCCTAAATAATAAATATTAACTAGATTCTAATTAATTACTAGACTAGATCTAAAATCTAATCACTTCTAGATAGTTTCTAGACTAGAGATTCTCAAATCGATAGATAGGCCTAGCTAGTCTAGATCTAGTTCATTCTAGTTAGTAGGCTCAGATAATTTAATTTTCTCAATGACGGATTTTCAAAACTATTTTAATTTTTTTTTAATTAACTGAAGCCGATTTTAATCCTTTTTATTTTGTCATTACAGTTTGCTACTGTTTACAAAGCACTTGATAAACAAACAGATAAAATTGTAGCTGTAAAAAAGGTAATACTGAAATTGTAAGAATTAATTTAGAATTTTTTTGATAGTTGTATTACAAAAAAATTAAACCTTAGCATGAATGAAATGAAAAAAAGATAGGCCTAGGTTTAGTTATTTACTATGTTTGAAAATTAGTATCTATAAAATAGGCCTACTGTAAAATGAATAAGAATAAATATAACATTTGTATTCCTGCAGATTAAACTTGGCTCTCGAACTGAAGCTGCTGATGGCATTAACCGAACTGCTCTTAGAGAAATCAAATTGTTACAGGAACTCTCTCATGAAAATATTATAGGGGTAATACAGACTTTAATCTCTATGTTATCATCTGAAATTTTATATGTTAGTATTAGTAGCTTTTATTATAAAGTTAAAGTTACGAACTAGGAACTAATAGCTTCATTCACACTATTGTCTATAATTAACTTATTTAACTATTATTAATGATCTAACTTAGACCTTTAACTATCCACAGCTCCTTGATGTTTTTGGTCATAAGTCAAATGTTAGTTTAGTGTTTGATTTTATGGAAACAGATCTTGAGGTATGCTTGATTGTGTGGAGATAAGTTCTTAATCATTTGAATTTCAATAGTTTGATTTTTTTTTTAAATTAGATACAATGATTGTATATATATATATATATATTTATTACATCATTCACTATAGTTAATTTTTTCATACACTTAACACTGATCTGTACCAATTGTGATCTATTTTTAGGTTGTAATCAGAGACCCAAATATCATCATGACAGCTTCTCACATCAAGTCCTATGTTTTACAGACATTGTTAGGGTTAGAATATTTGCATAGCAACTGGGTCCTACACAGAGTTAGTCCAATTTTCTTCTTACTTTGTGCATGTGTGATGTATGTATGCATTACCTTATTTATTTATATTTGAAAAAATACAAATATGAAATGATAACAAAGAAGCTAAAACTATGATGTGCTAACCATTTACTTCATTGCTTGGTATTTCAGGACATGAAGCCAAATAATTTACTTATTAATGAACAAGGTATTCTAAAGATAGGTGATTTTGGTTTAGCCAAATTTTATGGATCTCCAAGCAGACCGTATTCTCACCAAGTAGTCACAAGGTAACTTGCTTTGATTCAATCTGCACATCACATTACATAACTGATTTGTGTTATTGAAAATAATTATTTATTAGCACATCGAATACTGAAGAAATAAAACGTGTTTGTTTTGCTAAGCTCTCTTACCTCATAGTTATTTATTCCTACAGAATGTTCCTATCAAAATCATAGTACATCAATTTTTATACTACAACATAATTATGTTTTTGACACCAAAGTATAAGCTCATTTCCTTAGGTAAAAGTAAAACTATGCTCAACTTTTGATTTCTTCCAATCAGGTGGTATAGATGTCCAGAGCTATTGTTTGGAGCAAGAGCTTATGGAGAAGGTGTTGATATTTGGGCTGTTGGTTGTATCATTGCAGAGCTACTTATTCGGGTAACTTGTGTCATGTCTTTCTTTAATTAATAAATCTATAAGGAATTTTATTTGTTTCTCAATTGCTTTCTGACTTGGCAAAATTTGTTTGTCATTCGAATCATTTAAAAAATGTTAAAACTTTGCTGTGCCTCATATCACAAAATGTAACTTATTCTAGTATTGTTTAGTATGAATTATGTATAGAGTACTGTTGTGTACATCTTTAGGTGTATGTAAATTACTTCTATGCTTAATTGTCTTCTTAATTTACTTGCTCAGCTGCCATTTTTACCTGGTGACACAGATTTGGATCAGTTGAACAAAATCTTTCAAGTTCTCGGGACACCAACAGAAGCTGATTGGCCAGTGGGTACACACTTTCTTTTATTGCTGTCTGACAGTCACAAGTAATCCATGCTCAGTTCCTTTACATACACCAACAGAAGTAATCTGTTCCTTTACATAATGTGCATTGTATTCCACCACAGGACATGAAGTTTCTGCCTGACTATGTGACTTTCAAAGAGTTTCCCAAACAGCTAATGAAAGATATTTTCACTGCAGCTAGTGATGATCTGTTGGAGGTTCTCAACTCTATGCTCTCATTGAACCCCTCCAAGCGTTGCTCAGCTTCACAGGTATTATAGATCTCATATATAAATGATTTAAATAAAATAAACATTCATTTCTATTTTACTAGGCATGCTGCCCAGCTTCGCTTAGGCTTTCGAAAACATTGAGAATTTGAATGCTTAATTAATTCGCCCGAAGGTCGGTCTACGACCTCAAGAGTTATGAAGAGGTTCCTCCGTGGACATTTTTTTTCGATTTATAGCTCATATAAGGTACCGGTCAGTCGAGGTCAGTTTTGACCCCCACATCGTAGACTTTTCGGCCAACCGGCCCCCGTGTTCTGTCGCACCAAGGCAAGATCATGCCAAATTTGAAGCGCCTGCGGCGCCGGGAAGTGCCCTATCGGACACCCTACAATCTAGATCTAGATCTAGATTCCTAAAATAATTTTTTTTTAAGTTTAGCCCGAGCATAATAAAAAAGAATACATTAACCAAGATGACTTGCTGTGTCTCGAACCCGCACCACCTGCGTGGTTTAATGTTCACTAACATCTCCGCTATTTAGGCACCTTATAAAATACGGAGAATGAAACACGTATTTTAAAATCTTAACTTACGCGAATATGCCTATTCTTTCAAATTAATTTTTTATCCCAAATTAGCCAGTTCATAACAAAGATTTTGTATAAAATAAATAAGTCTTGAAATAGTTTAGTCCTAATATAGAAATTTATTTTTGGAATTGATTTTAGAGAAGTTAGAGTCTAAATCTAGATCTTAGCGTCTACGTCTAGATCTAGTTATTGCGTAGATTTAGATTTAGAATAGATTTAGTCTAGATCTAGAATCTCTAGATCTAGAATCCAAATACATAAAATAAATTTTATGAGTTTAGGCCGGAAAAATTGTATTGTATACATTTCATAGTGTACGTAGATCTAAATCAAATTTGAATGAAATAGTTCATTTCTTTTCATTCTAAACACGGCAGATGACGTCATTAGTTAATGTATAAGCAATAGTGACGTCACAGTTTTATGCGTTCTTTTTCACATATATTAATGCTTTTCCGGTTGCATAAATAATACTGTTTCTCTACATTCGAATACGCCTTTAATTTTTATTTTTCTTCTTTAACTAAAATTGTGGTTATACATTTAAAACATCTAACATATTATTTTCAACAAAAGTCCGTAAAAAATTCTCGATATATCGCTGCCGATTCTGACGTGATGTCCGGCGAAAATTTTTTGCGGACAGAGAAAGAGAGAGAGAGAGAGAGAGATGTGCGCACATTGGCCTTTTATAAATTAGGATTGAGATAAAAAAGCACTATTTAAATGTTATTAAATTTGTAATATGTATTACATGCTAGCTAGTGAGTATACATCTGCTTTAAAATAAATTTTAAAAGCTTTAAAAAGGTTTTTTGCCTCTAATGTATGGCCCTAGTTTATTATTGATATCTATGGGATCTTCAGGCTAATAAAATATTTGTTGTTTTTTAGGCCCCTCAGATGCCTTGTGTCTGATAATTAGGTAAATTTTTGTTGTTTTAGGCTCTCCAGATGACATATTTCAGCAACAAACCTGCGCCTACACCTGGTATCCAGTTACCTTTTCCAAAGTCCAATAAAATTCTGGACAAAGATAAAGAAGCCAAGAAAGTATCACTCAAGAGAAAACAAGATGGCAGTGATGCAGGTAAAGCACTGATAACCAGTAGCAGGTTGATAAATGAAGAAGTTTCTGAAGTTTAGTCCAAAGTTCATTTACACAAAATATGATCAAAATCTACTGCCTGTGTCTTTACCAAAGTTGGACTGACTTTGGTCTTTCAATTTACCCTGGCTTTTTTACTCACACCCAAGTAATAGATACAATATTAGCTCTATGCAAGTCCTATACTCAGATGCAGCTACTTTTTTTTACAAACTATTTTGACAAAATTTCTAACATTGACCTAACCCAAAATGTACTATTTTAACTCTTCTTTCTTATGTTGCTTCCTCTAAAACATATAACAGATTATTTGATTGTTTTGTTTGCTGATTGGAATTCAGTTTTTAAACATTCATTCATATTATTACATCTTTAACATAAAGCACATTAAAAATTCAATATTTGACAATTTTCTTTCAGGTGGCTTGAAAAAGCGACTCATCTTTTGAGACAACTTGCAGCTATGTAACTATATCACTGTATAAAGACCATACCCTTGAGTCTCATTTCACTAGTTGACCACATCGCAATCTCACATGTTATATGAGTACTGTGTACTTTAATTAATGGAATAAATTGTAAACATATTAGTTGAATTGTGTTGCTTTTTTGTTTACTTGTCTAAAATCACAAGTTGAAAAAGTTTTCTTTTTATACACTAAATATTATCCATTTAAATGTTCACAAAAAAAAATGGAATAGTATACCAGCCCTGCCCACCTGAATGCATGTTGGATGAAGCCAGAATATTTTATATTTATGACAGTATAGTCATGTTGAATGAAATAAAGTCGTTTTCTTCATGGACCTGAAACAACCTCCCTTTCTTAACTTTCTAGTTCACATTTGTGCACAAAATTGAAAATGACTTGTTTCCTTCCCCAAGAGTGAATGTTATTAATAGATGACCTCTGAACTTGTAGAAAATACCATACATCAGAACAACTGATGTATGTACAGCATTTTACTGTTGTCTAATCATTTTCAAAATGAGAACAGCCCCATCTTGCCATCTAAAATAGCCAGTAATCTCCATGATAAGCTATTTTAAGTTAATGATTTCATATTATACGGACAGATTTTACCAACATTTTCATATTCACTTGTGTTGGGGAATTGACATCAGTGATCACTCTTTCAATATAGCATTACTTAACACTTCAGTGTATCGCCAAATCAGTCACCATTGACCACATGAGTCACCATTTGTTTCAATGTATCACCACACCAGTCATCATCGGACTATCAAAGTACCAGATGTGATATTCAAGCTTTATTATAGTATAGTCCATCTGGGCCTATAAATCAATGGTATAACGTTCGCCGTGGATTATCCAAAACAACTAGTCCACTACAGTGCACCACATCACCCGGTAATTCTATCTCAACCCTAAAAAAGCTACCTGAGGTTAATTATTTTGGAAAAAAAATTATACTGCGGTGTTAAAATAAACAAGTAAAGGGAGTCAACACGAGTTTCGATACTAATCTAAAATATTCCGAAAGATCAGAGTAGCCTCCCTTGGCTGAGGTCAATCTAAAACAGACACACCCTGTGCAATAAATTCCGTTATAAAAGCATGCCTTGCTGGGGGAAGCAAGTGCTTCTGCTCAGGGATAAGCACTGGTCATCCTCTTGGTCCACCTATAAATGTCACGTGACTTGAATGGCCGGCTCTGTCTAACGTCAGTAACCGAGTAAAGATTAACCCTGGACGCGGCGTGGCTATTAAAACTTCAGCCTCGCCGGTCAAGACATGGAACTTGGACTGGCCACGTGTAACATAATGTGTCAGGCTATTCAGACATTGAAACAATAATCCTAACCTTAAACCAGCAGCTTAACTGCACATCTGCGCGACCCCGGGGGACCATCCACTCCCCACCCGCCACACCAGAGGCGTAGCGACGGGGGGGGGGGGGTACTTATGTCACCGGGCGCCGACCCGTAGGGGCGCCAAAATAAGCTCATTTTAGCTGCTATTTTGAATTATAAATATAATAAATATATGGGGGGGGGGGGGGGGGGGAGTAGGCGCCAAATTGAAAGTTTGTCACCGGGCGCCGGGAGAGGTCGCTACGACTCTGCGCCACACACATACACACCCGTACCAAACCACCCTGGAAAAGCGACTGTCTTAAACCAAATATCATCACTGACGAAAGACTACACCATATCATATAATCATAGCTTTAGTCAATTATTTCTATGATGATAATCAAATGACTGTCTCTTGTATAACTATTAAGATATAACTATATTTATCTACATGTGATGCATTTAGGAACAATATTTCACGAATACAATGTGTGTGTGTGTGTGTGTGTGTTAGCTCTGACAATAAAGATCAATTTTAGCTAAGGCAAAGAAGTACCATCTTTAGCTAGAGTAATAGGCCGCCATTAAGCTAGGGTGATGAAGTTGATGAATCAACTTTTAGCTATGAAATTATGCACCATTTAAAAAAGAAACAAAGCAGTCACTACCAAGTGAACAATTTATAACGATTTAACTTTACTTGGCTTATAATTGGTCCCGTAGCTTTAGCTTCACTAAACTTATCATTGGTCCCATAGCTTTGGTTGGCTTATCATTGGTCCCATAGCTTTGGTTGGCTTATCATTGGTCCCATAGCTTTACTTGGCTTATCATTGGTCCCATAGCTTTACTTGGCTTATCATTGGTCCCATAGCATTTCTTGGCTTATCATTGGTCCCATAGCTTTGGTTGGCTTATCATTGGTCCCATAGCTTTGGTTGGCTTATCGTTGGTCCCATAGCTTTACTTGGCTTAGAATAGATCCCATAGCTTTGGTAGGCTTATTATTTGTCCTATAGCATTACTTGGCTTATCATTGGTCCCATTTCCTACGTGCTAAGGTCTCACTCCAGAGCTTCACTTTAAAAAACCTTCAACACTATTAGTTAAAATCGTATCCACCAATCAGCGAACAGCTACAAAACGTAAGTGGAACTCGTTGAGAATATGTAAAGCTAGTTATTCAAGCTAGTTATTATTTCCCTTTATGGTTGTTCACGCCAATCAGCTATGTTAACTTGCTAAAGAAGAACAGTTGTAACTTTTCTCGTTGTAGAGGAAAATTCAAGCCTTTAGTCATTGAATTTCACCCGTTTTTTATTTGAATTCCGTTGTTAAATCTAGATTAGGGTAAGATAACCAAATCCTGAAGGGGCTGCTAACGCCCCCTGTGGAATTCGGCAGTAGCCTCCCCTTTATCTAACCCAGGACCTTCCCCAACATTTAGCACCAGTTACCAGCCACTTAGCGTCTGCTGGGCCAAATTTGTCACGGCCCCTGCAATAAACGAAACCTGGGGTTATCTTCCCCTGCTATCGATGCTTCCCGTGCAGGAGGGGAGTGGTAGACATATTGATTTTCTCAAACATCAATTAGCGATTATGTAGATTTATTTATTTTCCCAGTTGCAGCCTCTTTACATTCCTAACAAGACACAAAAAACACTCGTACCTGTTGCTTCGCGGATTTAAAATACAAAAATAACAAGTGTACACTGCTTCGCGGATTTTTTTTTTTAAGAAAAGAAAAAAGAAAAGAAAACAGAACCCCGTCTAGTTTTCTAAGCACGAAGACTAGTTTGTAGTAGACTTGAAAACTAAAAGTTAAACACTGTAAACACACTATACATGAAGAATAGAATCGTATTTGTGGAAGTGACCTGTAGAGGAAATGGTAAGCGTAGGACTTGAAATCCAAGTTTTTTAAAATTCACACACCAGTTTTTACACTGTGTGATATGCTAGAGAAGGAAATATCAGTTAAAGCGGTTAAACTATTTAGCCGTTATCACCATGGTCTATGGGAATTTGCCGTTAACTTACCACAAGTTAACCAGTCGGGGAATTTACATGAGACGCTGGGGGGTAATTTACCATTAGGGTCATTAGGTACACGAGGACGAGAGAGATAAATTTACAGCAGATGGACAAATGAGGTCAGTGGAGCTAGCTGCTACCCCAGGACCTGTCGGATGTTGAGTAGAGCAGTGTTCTAAGTTTAGAGAACATTTGTGTATAGAGAAATGTTCTAAGTTTAGAGAATATTTGTGTATAGAGAAATGTTCTAGGTTTAGAGCACACTTGTGTAGAGCAATGTTCTAGGCTTAGAGAACATTTGTATAGAGCAATGTTCTAGGTTTAGAGAACATTTGTGTATAGAGCAATGTTCTACGTGTAGAAAACATTTTTTTTATAAAGAAATATTCTAAGTTTAAAGAACACCTGGATTTTTGTAAAGAACAATGTTCTAAGTTTAGAGAACATTGTTCACAATCAATGTAAGGAAAAAAAAATAATTAAAAGACTATGATACATCGAAATAAATACTATTTTTATTATTAACTTGTCTACCCTATTTACATCATACACATAGTAACAAAAATACATCGAGGACGTAATTATTTCAAGAACTTGTGGAAATAGTTAATGGTACCACCAAAATTATTAAATATTATTAACGTGGAAATGATAACACCATTATCTAACGAACTGATGGAAATGGTGACACCTTTATCTAATGAACTTATGGAAATGGTGACACCTTTATCTAATGAACTTATGGAAATGGTGACTCCTTTATCTAATGAACTGATGGAAATAGTGACACCATTATCTAATGAACTGATGGAAATGGTGACACCATTATCTAATGAACTGATGGAAATGGTGACACCTTTATCTAATGAACTAATGGAAATGGTGACACTATTATCTAACGAACTGATGGAAATGGTGACTCCTTTATCTAATGAACTTGAGGAAATGGTAACAAAACCACATTATTTTATGGACATACATGATAATAACACAAACTTATGGTTACACTAACTAAATATATAACATAGTAACAACACCATCTCAACATTCCTATGAACAAAAACATCTATTGGATATGTGTACATACCATCTTACTAGTATATGGACATGACAACAAGAACTATGTTATAAAACACACGTTTACTTAACAAAGATAGTATGTTACTGAACTAGAAAATACCAACAACAACAACAAAAAAAACATTAGTAAAACTTTTTAACTCGGATTATTTTGTTTTGTTACTTTATTTTTGAAATACATTTTGAAAAAAAAATCAAAGACAGTGAAGTTAACCATTAAACGCTAACGAACTGATGATTTAGGCCCAAACCTTTGAGCTACGTCAGACCCTGATCATTGTTTTACCGCCCCCCCCCCCCCCCTGCAAAAAGATTGTTCTAAATTAAATTTTATATTATTTATTGCCCCAGCTAATACTGTAAACAAAAACGCGAGTCAAACAAAACTCGAGTTAAACAAAAACTCAAGCCAAACAAAAATGAAAGCACACACATCGAATGAATAGCGGCAAACGCTAAAAACAACAACATAATTATCATGAGGTAGTTACGCAGAATTAATGTCAACATCCGCTTGGCTGCCAGGTACTTCGAAAATTCCTGGCCATAATTTATGAAGACTTTAATCGTCAGAAATCCTACTTGGAGGGATTTCAATATTAATTATCTTCATCTCGTAAACACAATTTAATAGAAACAAGTAAAATAAAGGTATTTTATCAAGGTTATATAATCTCAGACCATATCATGAAATTAGTGTGAGCATTTTTCCTTTAAAAAGGTAATTTTGTTTCAAGGGGTTTTCACAAAACCTTCCGTAATACCGAGGTTAGATAAATAATTTTCTGCCCCGTTGAGCGTCTTAATCCAAAAGGGTATTTTAAAAAGTTGACCTTTAGAAATATTTACGATTGTAGCTATAATCAGTGACATAGCGAGGTCGGGTGTCACCCGGTGCGGCACTTAGTGGTGCCACCCCCCCCCCCCCCAGAGGCGTTGCGACCCTTCCCGGGGACAAACTTTCAAGTTTACGATTTGCACCCCCCCCCCTCAAACTTTCGATTTGCACCCCCCTCAAGTTTTTGATTTGCACCCCCCCTCAAGTTTTTGATTTGCACCCCCCCCTCAAGTTTTTGATTTGCACACCCCCCCCCCCCTCAAACTTTCGATTTGCACCCCCCCTCAAGTTTTTCTCTATATATTTTGCTATTTTTTGCCTTGGTGTCACCCCCCTAAATGGTGTCACCCGGTGCGGTCCGCACCCCCGCCCCCCCCCCCCTCGCTACGCCCCTGGCTATAATATATATATATATATATATATATATATATATATATATATATATATATATATATATATATATATATATATATACACATATATATGAATAACTAAAACAGCATGTACAAAAAAAAACATCGTTGTGTGATATGTGAACATCGCGCATTAATATCTGCATACATGTGTTAACAACAGAAAAATATCGATCTGATGTCATATGGAAAATGACGCCAGTTGACCAAAACAAAGTATATGAAGCGTAACGGACTAGATCGAACTCTGAACGAAATAACGGATCGTTCAACGTGTCTGCCATCAGGAATCCTGGACACTGACCTCTCCTGACCGACTTTATCACAGCTGTGGGCTTGATGTTCCAGAAGTTTCTTGTCACAAACAGTTGGGGACTTTACACACAAACTTGCCTCTCGCTGTGGTGCTCTGAAAGGTACACGAATGGTTGATGTTAAAGTAGGCTGAAACTCTCCATATATATATACATATATATATATATGCTCAATATATATATATATATATATATATATATATATATATATATATATATATATATATATATATATATATATATATATATATATATATATATATATATATATATATATATATATATATATATGTATATATATATATATATATGTATATATATATATATATGTATATATATATATATATATATATATATATATATATATATATATATATATATATATATATATATATATATATATATATATATATATATATATATATATATACAAATATTGGTCTAACTATTGAAGGCAGCAACAGCACTTAGTATCAGTGTGTAATATCTCATTGTGAGATAGCTATCTATGCTGTCCGCTTAAAATATTCATTAAAATCTCGAGCTCCCCTCTTCAAAAACCCAGTAGGTCCAACGATTCTTGCCGGATAGGTCATTGCGCTGTTTGACTGTCTAAATTTTAGCCGGGCTGTTTTCTCTGGCTTCTGCTCCCCGTCCTTCGAGGGGGGCGGAACCAGCGGGGTAGTCGGAAAAGAAAATGTCTGGCGAGTTAGCTAAACACGACTCAATACGGGGCCCGTCTCGCTATCGGCAAGTGCTCACCCTGCACTAACAAACACTGGAAAGGTGTTCCAGCGGGCTGATCACGTGATACAAGTCACGTGATTTGAGCGCGAGGTTTCTCCCCGCCCCTAACATGCAATGTTACAACAGGGGGGTTGGATAACAAACTATTGACAAGAGTAGGGGGAGGGGGTGTTCAGACAGGTGTTGGATAAGGTGGAAGGTTACTAAAGGGTAACACACTTGAGGCATCCACCATTGTCACCGGTCGTGGCATACTTGCCGGCAGCCTAAAGGTTGGATACCAGTGGCGAGTGTTACAGTACAGTGATTAAACATTGGTTGGGACCTGGGTAAATGATGTCTTGCTTTTTTTTTACTGACCCCTCCCCCCTCATCTACACACATCACAACACTCCCACACTAAAATGACGTCACGCTTCAGACCTCCCCCATAGCAATTGCAAAATTTTCTTTGTTGAAATCATCTGTAATGACCTTAATACTAAAAATTTTGGCAAATCCAGGTCGAGATCATATCAATTTATTATAAGAAGTCTTTTTAAAAATAAAATAACTGTTACAATTCAGTAGGAAAAAAAACTTTAAAAATTAAATGTAAACCTACGTTTATAATTTCGACATGTATACTTAACACATCTAGAAAAAAAATCGCAGCAAGATACTATACATGTAGCATAGGTAAGATGTTCTCTTATAATATCAACTTTTTTGCGATTTTTATTCTAGACATGTATAGTATACATGTATAGTATACATGTCGCAGGTGTTAACATGATATAAGAGTGTGGTATCGAACTTTATTAAACCCAACTCCCCTTCATTCCACAGTGTCAATTAGCATTTGGACTGACACGTTTTATAACCGTTAAAACAAAAACACAAAGTATCTATACAACTACATGGTTAAAAAATGGTAGACGTGTGTCAAAAATATTACGGATGAAGACATGGGTCATCCATAAACTACCTCAGGCATTTTAAAACGACATTTACCTCCCCTCCCCATTAATCTCCATCATCACATTTTCACAAGCCTGCCTGTATAATGACGTCATACCTCAACGTATCACTACCATCAAAATTGTAATTTTTGTTTTTAAAACAATGTTCTAAAATCATTACGGAGCTCTGTTAACTTTGAGTATATTGTTCACATTTTATAACAATTTAAAAAAAAATGTCATTGAATAAAACAATATACCTTTTTCTGGCTTTACTTTTGAAGCCCCCCTCCCGTTCGTCACACATGATCATAGATGCCCATTAGCAGTCATGTTGTTTCTTAACAACACATAAAACTACGCAAGCTATAAGGAAAACTAAAGAAAGTCTTGTGAAAGTAACCAGTAAACCAGCGAGTCACGGATCAGACCAATGCTGAGAACGATGACACGGTATACTGAACTATCCGGACTTTACCCCACCGGTCTGGTTGGGTGCTGAGAACGATGACACGGTATACTGAACTATCCGGACTTTACCCCACCGGTCTGGTTGGGTGCTGAGAACGATGACACGGTATACTGAACTATCCGGACTTTACCCCACCGGTCTGGTTGGGTGCTGAGAACGATGACACGGTATACTAAACTATCCGGACTTTACGCCACCGGTCTGGTTGGGTGCTGAGAACGATGACACGGTATACTGAACTATCCGAACTTTACCCCACCGGTCAGGTTGGGGTGCCGCCAACCGTGACGGCGGCTGGACTAAACATGAGCTGCCCGGCTGGTCATGTATGGGTTGGACTAGTCGGTACAAGTGAAATAATCCCAGCTTCCATCGTGTTACAGTAGGTAGTGCCGGCTCCGTGGTAAACTACTAGGGTGGGGGTAGTGGGGAGGCGTAAAGATGTTCCGGCTTGTTGGGGATGGGAGGGGGGGATTAGGGGAAATCAGTTACACAAAAAGTTTGGAAACCGTTGATGTGGTAAAACATATGGGACGATTGCAGTGAAACGTAAAGTTAGGTGGAGGTGGGGGGGGGGGGGGGACGGGGACATGAAGTATATATGTAAAGAAAAAATATATCCGTATTTATAATAGTTTAACTAATGTATATATTTTGAAATTTACATATATATGTGTGTGTGTGTGTGTGTGTGTGTGTGTGTGTTGTTTCTATCTTATTCTTACATTTTGGGTGCCACCTCACTCCCTCTACAATATTATCTTTAAATAACACAGTCAACATTTGCCGGTAATATTTTTAGCTTTCTTTTTTTCTTACAGTCCAAATATATTTAAACTGAATAAAAGCCTAAGTTTGAATGATGAAATTATTTTTTTTTCAAATAAAGTTTAACTACATTCGTGATGTATGTAAGATTAGCAAGTAATTTAATACAACTGCTGTTACAAGATTCAAACCGTTCCCAGTTACAACTTCAGTAGTGCTCTATCATGTAGCCAGGGCCTACAGTCTCTAGTTCGTCAGACTGTCGGCTCTTGTTCTTGTGCCCCGAAGACTTAACAAGCTTTTAAATGCTTAAATCAGCTCAGCATTGAATGGTGCTAGACCTACAGCATCTGCTTCAAATAAGACGGAATTAGCAGACCTACGAGTAGGTGGGGGGGGGGGGTGGAGCAAGGCTGCCCGATTGCCGCAACCACTCAAATCTTGAGTCTGCTGTTGTTGAGTTTTTTTTTTTTTTTGACTTGACTTTTGTTGTCATGGTTACTCTAACAGGAAACACGTGCCTTGCTGGTGAGTTCAGCTATCACTGCTAGTGTTGGTTTAACCTCAGCCTCTCATTGTAGGTTTAATTAGCTTAAACTTTAGTCTTTTATTGAAGGTTTATCTAGTTTAACCTGTAACCGCAGGTTAGCTCATACTGTAGGTTTAACTGGTTTAACGGTATAACCTGTTAGACAGTATGACTTTAGCAACGGGTCGGGGTAAATACGGGTTGGGGGTGGGTCAGGGTGGGGGGGGGGGGGGAGGGGGGGGAGGTTAGATGAAGATGGTTTTTCAATTTCCAAAACTTGTTCAAAGACAAAAAGAACAGTCGCTTATCTAAGGACAAACACAATTTGCGATTAAAAGTCTATAGCGTCATGGGTTCTAGGGTGAAACAGGTAGAACTTCAACAGCTGAGGTAAACTAAATCTTTGAATCTCTATATGATGTGTGACTCACCATGATTGAATAACAAAACAAAAACGATTTTTCTACTGGACTGTGACTAAGATTTTCAACTGAACTTCGGATTTGTGTTTTGTGCATTTATTATTTTTTTAATTTTACTTCGAAGATGGAATAAGTGTAGTTTAAATGTATTTCGGGACGTATCTTACTCTCCAGATAAGCCCCATATTTTCGACCCAAAAACTGGCGTTGTAGGAGGGGGTAGGTAGGTGGGGTGGGGGGGGGGGAAATCTCGTTATACCGAGGAAACCTACGAGATTTCTCGAAACCACGATCAGTTGATACTGTCTTTTTGATCGTCACAATTTCTGTTTGAAATAACAGTCATTTTTTGAAACTCAATTTTTTTTTTCAAATTTTACACAATGATGAATCTCAAATACCTAATAATAATATAATTAAATTGTTATTCTAATTAGAAATAAATTTAAAATATTTTAAAATTAATATATATTGACATCTAAAATAAAAGGGGTAATAACAAGGTTTTGGTAATAAATCTAATATTGGCTGGGTTTACGGACGTAGTTGTTAGTGTAAGAATCATTACAGTAGAGGCAACCTCGAATCAAATAGAAAAAAAAACAAAAAACAATAGGACCAATTGTCCTGCTTCGACATAACAGGTCATCATTTCACAATAGATTAAATGAGTGTTTGAATAACGACAGGTGAAAGATGGACGAGCCCTAGACTACAGGTAAGAAATGTAACAAGAGAGCCCTAGACTACAGGTGTGAAATGTAACAAGCTGGACGAGCCCTAGATTACAGGTGAGATATGTAACAAGAGAGCCCTAGACTACAGGTGAGAAATGTAACAAGAGAGCCCTAGATTACAGGTGAGAAATGTAACAAGAGAGCCCTAGATTACAGGTGAGAAATGTAACAAGAGAGCCCTAGACTACAGGTGTGAAATGTAACAAGATGGACGAGCCCTAGACTACAGGTGTGAAATGTAACAAGATGGACGAGCCCTAGACTACAGGTGAGAAATGTAACAAGAGAGCTCTAGACTACAGGTGAGAAATGTAACAAGATGGATGAGCCCTAGACTACAGGTGTGAAATGTAACAAGAGAGCCCTAGATTACAGGTGAGAAATGTAACAAGAGAGCCCTAGACTACAGGTGAGAAATGTAACAAGAGGGCCCTAGACTGCAGGTGAGAAATGTAACAAGAGAGCCCTAGACTACAGGT